AATTTACTATAAAGGAAGGGGGAGATCCCAGTACTGACCGGAGCTCAGCCGTGGGATAGAGCGCGCATCGCCCGGCACTTTCTCGGGACTCACGTGTTGGTCTCCTGCCAGGACTGAAAGGGCTCCCCAGTCCATGTGTGAAGGTGGGTGATGATGGCACGTCCGAGTGTAAATAGTTTTGCAGCTGCTTATACGTTTAATGGATTAATGGGGATTAATTATCACCGCTCGTGATGATAATTTGCATTGTCTATATTTCATTATTTCTTTTAGATTTACCTTAGTTCGTATGATATATGCTATTCTATATCCCTTGTGGTACAAGGTTATTTTGCATTGCTTTTAATTGATATATTGATATTGATTTTAATGTGAAGTTATCTTGTATTACTTGTATTAAAGTGTTTTTGAGTGAACCTAAGCGTGCCTGTTTGTTCCTTCGAGAGCCCTATATCCCTCTCTCATCCATTTTAATACAAAGCCTTTTTCCACTGTAAATCACCCACAATAGAATACAAGAAAAGATTTTGCAGTGGGAGGTGAGATACAATCTACAGCCATTCTAAGGTGTCTGTTACTATATATATTGTTCCTAACATCAATATTCCCAATAAACAATTTTTTACATCCAAAAAAAAAAAAAAAAACTGTGAGTACCTATGGGGACTGCATCAAACAAAAATGCATATTCTTTAGGTGTAATTGGTACTTAATTTTTTTTTTTTAATTCTGAATATGATAGTAACATCCCATATTTGTCCATCAATTGCCCAACTAACCAAATTCCATTGTCATTCCATGAGCGATAAAACAGTGACTTATTTTTATATGATATCCTTATTGTTCCAAATGAAGTACCTATGAAGACTAAAACTGTGCTATACCATCAACCAAGCTAAAAGAGTTTGTCTGTGACAATTTGTCAATTTAATTGGAAGTTTATCAACAGAAAAGTTGCATTTTAATAGAAAATCAATGCAGCATATTTTATAATCATTGTTTAGTAGGCTGATTGGTCGCCAATTCTCTATTAGTAATCTATCTTTGTTGGTTTTAGGAAGTAATGTTATTATCCCTTGTCTTAATGTAGTTGGACATTCGCCCTTTCAGAGAGATTCCTTAAACATTTCTAGTTAAAATGGAGCCAGTTTAAATACAAAAGTCTTATATAATTCCCCAGTAAAACCATCAGTACCTGGGAATTTGTTGTCTTTAAGACATTTGATGCATTCAACAATTTCAGACAAAGATATTTCTCCATCACACAAGTCTCTAAATTCTCTGTCAATTTTATTGGTATACAATGCAATTTTGTCTAAGAAAGAGTTAATACATGAATTTATATAGGTTGAAGAGTATAATCTTTGATTGAATTGAGTGACATGATGAGATATTGCTTTGTGCTCATCAATTATTTTACCATTAACCTTTAATTTACTTATAACAAGTTCAGCATTTCTCTTTTCCAATCCAAAAAAATATTTGTTTTTTTTTCCTTCCTTCCTCAAACCACTTACATCTACACCTAATGAAGGCACCTCTAGCTTGTTCTTGATTCCAGTATCTATCAATAACGTTATTAATGTCCATCTTTAAGTCACCATGCATTAATAGAGGGCTGTTAAGTTTCAAATATCCTGTATCATATTGATGGGCTCCCCATTTGAGTCTGGTTGCTCCTAAGGTTTCTTCCTTCTAGGTAGTTTTTCCTTTGCCACTGTCTGGCTTGCTCACTGTGGGCTTTGGGCAGGGATGCTGTAAAGCGCTTTGAGACGATGTAATGTTCTGAAAATGTGCTATGCAAAATTGAATTGAATTGATCAATGAGACACAAATGACTGTACTGGTATGCTAATAATTAAAGTTCTTGTATTTTGAAAAAATAAAGAAATAGAATTCTCACTACAAGTGATTAACATCTCATTTGGAGCCACGCTGGGCCGCGCTCTGGGTGATTACAGTCTGAGCCACTTTGGGCCTTTCCTCATGTAATTAACCTCTGATTTCACAAAGACACATGAACTGGGGCAAAGTTATGATTTATAGCATAGACAACATGAGATTGATTACTAAACAGTTGCAGCTTGAAGGCTGACAGGTCAGCCATTATTTCTCCTACTATTAAAACAATTTCATTGCAAGTTATGATCTGCATGTGAGACAGGTTCGTACACTATGCAGTCCACTTTGCGAAGGCACACAAGTGACAACTATGTTCAGTCAATCAATCTGATAATTAGGATCTGGCAATTTGGAATCAGTCACGTAACATTGCAAAATAGGTAAATTATTTGATTAGAGAGCAATTAACATAATCCCTCCTTTGAAGAGTGATAATTTGCTTTCAAAATAAGGGCTATTTAGGGATTGCTTTGGAGAAAATAGGGATACAGCATCAATTAGCTGATGTATTAGGCAACCAATAAAGGAGCACCACGCAATACAACAAAGCAACCAATAGATGGCAGTCTGATGCTTACATATCTCCAATCCCCGGCATCTCATCTGTTTTATCATGACTCCTCAGAAAAACTGAATACCAGGCATGGTTTTACATTTAAACATGATTGTGAGATACCCTTAAATGCTGTGGGGGAGGGTTATGTTTCTAGAGGACAGGGATTTAGGCAGGAAAAGGATCAGCTATGTTAGTAACTACAAAAAATGGAGGCCAAAGTATGTTAAAATCCTCATTTGGATATGTGGGGATACAACTGACCGACTGAAGTGTAGACTGTGGTTTTTGGACGTGAAACAAAAAACACACCAGTGTATACATAATGTATGAAGAGGCATGTGACTTTCCCCAGATTCATTGCTGAGAGATTCTAGAAATTTCTGCTCTACTTCTCTAGAACATGTGAAATAACTATGTTCAAAAATTTATAGAAATGTCATATTGACCAAAACTGGCCAGTTCCAGGAGCATATGACTTTTGGGATCCAATCAGGTCTTCTGACATCCTCCCCTTACAGGGTGTGAACACTGCCAATTCCTGCACTGCATCACAGATATTGTAGGCTGGTCATTCTTATAGTGTGTGCCATGGAATATATAGATTGGATTGGTGGAGCACGGTGGCACGTTGGTACAGCGGTTAGCACCATCACTTCACAGCCCTGGGACCAGGGTTTGAGTTCCATGCCAGGGTTCCATGTGTGTGGATTTTGCATGTTGTTGTCGTGGGGTTTCCTCTAGGTACTCCGGTTTCTCCCACAGTCCAAAAGCATGCTGAGGCTAATTGGAGTAGCCAAATTGCCTGTAGGCGTGCATGTGTGAGCGAATGGTGTGTGAGTGTGCCCTGCAACGGGTTGGTGCCCTATCCTGGGTTGTTCCCTGTCTTGTGCTTCCGCAATAGGCTCCAGACTCCACTTCACCCTGAATAAGACAAGTGGTTACAGAAAATGGATGGATTAGCGGAGTGCTTACTGCAGTATGGGTTCAGGGTCGTAGTCTTGTAATACGTGTTTTACCTCCTTGGGGAGGTTTCTAGAACCTGGGCTGGACAGTCCTGTAGGTGATATAGGTGGCCACCAGGGGGAGCTGACTTGCCAGTTGATTTCATTTGGTCTCAGAAAGGGGGAGCCAGTGGTGATGTTTGCCTAGGGCACCAGGACTGTCCAGAACAATAATGATTAGCAATGTCAAGAGGATCAGACAGTGAAACGAATAACATTTTTAAATTATTTTGAGGAATGGATGGATCAATGCACAAAAAAAACAATCTGTAACATTGGTAGCTGCCTATTCTGCCTATTACATACCTGTCCATATTGAAATTTTCAATTACTCAGCAACACATTACTTGATGGGGCAAGGAATACTTAGTAATAACTCGAATACTACTGAAGTAGTAATCATGAACAAATCTCGACCAAAAATATTGTCACTACTTGAAACAAAAGATGTCAATTCATTAATGATGAACAACCATGAGATCAGTATGTCACATGTGTTATTCATGACTTGTTCCTTCAGTAGTTCACAATGGTTTACAGAGTTAACAGATATAGTAACAAATATAGTAACTGCTTGGGATAAATCATGTGTCATGGTTAATTAAAGATGAATTAACATGAGATCAGTATGTAAAACTTGTAAAAAAGTGTATGGTTAATTAATACATAAGTAGTAGCATAATACTATATTATTTGTGCCCTATCAAGTAAAAGCGTTACCAAATGCTCTACTACAATGTGAAAATAATTTGTATGGGAACCCAGATTTGACATTCAAGTGTTTACCTTGCAGATGCCCTGCTGGCTCTCTGGTGGGCACAGCCAGGACCCCACCCTAGTGAACAGTGCGAGAAGGCCAGAAGCTCATCTTTTCCCATGAGCTAGAGGATTGCCAAGGAACAGCTTGGGTCAGGCATGACATCAGCGTGTAGCTTGTGGACCCTCAAGCTTCAGTGATGCCTTAACTGTCTTAAACATTCTGCATGTTTCTTTGCTGATCATTGACTACAATCCTGTCATAAACTGATAATTTGTCCAGATAAAATACCACTGGGGGGCACTACAGACCTCCAAGCTGGATACCATGAACACAGACACATTCATCCTTACTCTGACATGTAGGCATACAGAACTGCGTGTAGATAGAACACGTGCATATGTTAGCTAGTCCTCAGCTTTTTATCCCTCTCAAAGTCCATCGAAACATCCATTAATGTGTTAATCAAAATTCAAAAGAAAGAGAACATGAATATGCATGAGTGTGCTTTTCCCTGAGCCGCAGACAGCACCACTGTTCCTGGGTTTGCTGTGCTTATGTCACCTGGTCACACCTTGAGAAGCAGGCTGGTGATTAGAGGTTCCTAGCTGTGATGTTTCTAATGCATCCGCTAACCACAATCACACACACACATACACACATGCACACTCCCCTTTTTCTGTCCTCCTATTGGCTGTTTCTGGGGCTAGGGGCGGAGCATTCATGCACAAACAAGCTGCAGAAGCGCGGCAGCAGACTGACAGAGTGTGAGCCAAGGGGTTGCCACGGTGAGAGGCTGTTTGTAAGGAGTTCACACCCCTGGGAGAGTTGGGGTGTAGGACTGCACCCACCCCCCCCCCCGCCCCCGCTCACCCTTTCCATCAAGCTGTCCGTGGTGCGAGACGTCGGAAGCATTGCTGGAAGAGCAAGGACAAGCCTGGCACTGTCCATGGTGCTGAAGATCGCAGGGAGAGCAGACCGGAGCTTATACTGTCCGTGGTGCTGAACGTGTGAGGCATTGTAGGGACAGCAAAAGCGAGTCGTTACCATCCGAGGTTCTGAACGTGTGAGACACCGCAGGGAAAGCAGACATGAGTGTGTAACTTCTGTGGTTCTGAACGTGTGAGACATCGCAGGGAGGGCAGACACAAGTCCGGACCCCCTGCGCTGCTGAACGCCTCTGCAGGGGGAGACCACTTCTTTTGTTTCCCGGTTCACCACTCAGCATCCCGCTAACGAGCCGCAAAGCAGCCGGGCTTGCAAACAAGGTGCGAGCAGGATGTTGGATGGAGCGGACATGGTGGTCCCCAGCCCCACAGGACTCTGAGTGGCCCCCGTGCCGATGTGCCCGGCGGCAGTGCCTGGGCGCAGGAGCTGCGGGCGAGAGAGCATCACCGTGGCGATGTCTCTCCTTCACCCTCAGGACCCACACTGCGAACAGAACCCATCCTATTGGGTCCTGCTGGCCTGGATCTGAGAACTCCAACACCTTTCTGAGGGGCAGGGGAGGAAACGTCTTCTGTCAGGAAACATTACACACTTCTCACCCTAGTAAGAAGCTCAGGATTGATGATATCAAGCTGGGAGTTTGCTCCCTCGGTGAGTATAATTCCTGGAATATTGGGAATATTGCCTCTTTTTTGGTAATGCTCTCAATCCAACAATACCAATCTCACTTTATAAATCCTGCAATAATTCATGTGAGGCACATGTGCATGCCATATTTACATCCAGTTCACTGTGCCATGTTTGTGGGTTATGGTTGCCTGGTTACGTGGGTCATTTGCTTTTTCCATTTCTTCTCTGCATGTGGTAAATTTGAGGTTGGAGTGGTGCTGAGGGGAAAGCAACGAGATAAACAAGATGACTTTCAGTCCCGGGAGAATTCAGTCCCCTGCAAATAGGAGGATAACTGAAAGGGTTAGTGTGGGAGAAGCTCAGTGCTGCAGCAAGAGCAGATTTTTGGAGAGCATGTGAATAGTAGAGCATCGGGCACATAAACACACAAACAGAAGCACACAGACCAGGCATCCTGACAGATCTACTCTCTGCATGGCAGAAAACAGCCTATTTAGCTGTGTGATGGTGGCCAGGCAGGATTCCAGCATTTTTCTCCTTATGCCCCCAGGACACACACATGCACAAGCTGACACAATTACACACCCACACAGACACACACTCTCTCACAGCCTGGGGTACACATCATGAATTGTGCTGCAACTGTCAGTATACTTAATGCTACTGGACCCAGGTCAAAGCCTCTGGAACTCAGTGACTATCTGCTAGTCTGTTACGCTTTGACTCGGTTTATAGCCCCAGAGGAATTTTCCCTTGTGACATTGCAGCTACTCTCACTGCAGACCCCCTGCTGCATACGCTACATACTACATCGCTGTCACCCAGCACACCTTGCACAGCGGCTGTGCCTTACAGTGTGACACATAGGCGTGCTTTCTCCGTCAGCAGACATCTTTCACTGTGGCACCACATTCGCTGTGATTTAATACAAAGTGACATCACTAATCCTCGATGAGGTTAAGGAGCAGTTCATAATTTACGTTGAGCCCAGTGTTACTACTGTGCTAGATGGTTAACAGCTGGACGCATACAGTACTGTGCAAAAGTGTTAGGCTGTCAAAGAAATTGTTTAAGGCTGCTTATCTGTGTAGTAGGTGTATATTTGAGGGGAAAATAACATTAGAACATATGCCAATTAACAGTGACACAAGAAGATAAAGAAGCATTTCTTCTGTTCTCCAAAAAGTTGCTGATGTCTTGTTGGATGGATAGATGAACACTTAAGTTACCAAACCTCTCCTTATGGGCACCTGAGCGATTCCATGTATTTGTTAAATCACCATCAGCTCATTTAATTAATTATCTTAATTGGCCAAATGACTCATTGACTGATTGATTAGCTATATGAGGTTTGCTAGTGGTCGAGTCAAAAAAAATGCATCAGTGTATTGGGCGGTTGCTGCAAATACTGGGTGATTTTAGGAAGGCTTTGAAATGGTTAAGCTGGCACATTCTGACATAGATTTACACCAACATTAAAACCATATAAACATCATATTCTTTGCCTTGAATTTTATACAGTACTGTACATGTGTACAGAGCTCAACTGCACTGCTGAGTTTTAAAACTGTCTGTACTTGTGAGAAGATGCAACATTTGGCCAACTGAGCAGATGACCTATTGCGCATTCACACATTACTTTAAAGCTTACACCAAATGTATTTATATTGATCACATGACCCTCGTTTGTCTTTTATTTTGGTACAGAAAACAGCATCCAGGTGCCTTTGAGGGACAATGAACGTGAAGGGCAAGGAATCTACTCAGAGATTCTTACAGTACGTTGAGGACAGCGGACTGATTGCCTATGACAGTTTGGTCATCCAGAATGCCTCGGACATCGCTCGCGAAAGCGACCGCGTGAGGAATGAGACGAACTGGACATACCTTCAAGAGAAAAGTGAAAAGAAGCGGACACAACAAAGCACTGAAAGGTAGGCAGAGTCGGAGTTTATCTCGACCAGCCCAACAAAACAGCAGATTTAAGTGCTCATTCCCAGTCCGAGCTGAACCCCTCATCTCTCCAATTACTGTAGCCCAGTACAGCACAGCACAGAATCCAGATCAGTGAAACCCGGCTGGAAAAAGGCATTCAATTGCAAAAAGGGCCCAGCCCTGGTCAGCTTGGCCTCTCCTCCCAATACTCTTCATGTCAGTTTTCTACAGGAGATGCAGAGTTGAGCACAATTTTCCAGGCATAAGGGATGGTTTTGGAATATGGATCCTGCGTATCTCTGCTGCATGGGCTCTGCTTCAGCTGATACATGCTTAAATACACAGACACAAAATATATCAACTTGATGACACAGCTCACAGCAGTAGGAGCTTTCCATGCAAATGCAGAAGACCTCCCAAAACCGACATGATAGCTCACTACACATGAGCTACTTCTCTACTGTCAAACTTCAGCTAAAGACAAGCTAAAGGCAGAGGGACAGAGCAATGGCTAGATATTTCAGGAAGACCATAAGTAGGTCAATGAGACAACCCCAGTGGAGGGGGAGAAAAAAACTGAGATTAAGTGTGAAGAGCTTCCAGGCAGGACCTGATTTCTGCCTGGTGACAGCTGGAGAAGCTGCAAGCCAATGAAATCCCTCTGGTGCTGTAGAAGGGGGAGGGTCTTCCTGTAGAATGCCCTCCCACTGGAACAGTCACCATCTCACACAATCTTGGTGCATTGCATTCAGTGGGTGATTTTAGAGCAGTGTATACTGTAAAACCAGGGAGCATGTCTAAGTGAAAGGGTAAAATGCAAAAGCATGTGCACTGTGCCAATATTAGATTCTGGTGGGGTATCTGGTATAAAGCATTTTAATGCAGTCCCTAGTGCAATGTTCTGCTGCACAGTCCGGGGAAAGCATTTAATATAGTTTCCTAATGCAGTGTTATGCTGCATAGGCCTAGTAAAGCATTTAATGCCATTTCCTAGTGCAGTGTTATGCTGCACAGACCTTGTAAAGCGTTTAATGCAGTTTCCAAGTAGAGTATTATGCTGCACAGTCCTAGCAAAGCATTTAATGCAGTTTCCTAGTGCAGTGTTATGCTGCACTGTCCTAATACAGCTTTTTAATGTGCTTCCCTAATACAATGTTATGCTGCACAGTCCTGGTACAGTATTTTAATGCAGTTCCTAGTGCAGTGTATTGCTGCACTGTCCTAGTACAGCATTTTAATGCATTTTATCCTAGAGCAGTATCTTGCACTATCCTATAAAAGCATTTAATGCCGCTTCCTGTTGCAGAGTTTTGCTGCACAATCCTTACTGTGTTGCAGTTAGTCCCTTGCATTTTCACTTGCCGTGTTACAGGCTCCCTCAAATGACAGTTTACTAAAGCGCCGATTGCCTTCAGACTTCAGCTGTTTCTCTGTGCAAAGAGCCCAAATTCCAGCCGGCAACCATCCAGGCCACAGCAGTGGCAGGCTTCACTTTCACTGAACCGGCATCTTTCTTGTTTCCCTTGAGAAGGCGGCAGCTTTCAGTAATGTGGTGCGAAACTGTGCCGGTTAACCGAGCGCCGGTTGGGAAGCACATGCAAATAAACCGGTTTCAGCAGGATTATCTTTACGGTCGTTCCAATTGCAAAACCTGCCTTTTCTGCCTCACACAAAAGCATACCCACACACGGCATCCTGGAGAACTACAAAACAGGGTCATACAATGATGCGAGAGCTGGTTAAAGAGCTGGCCCGTCTTCTGCAAGCCACTGGCACATCACAGACCAGGCAGCAAGCTGTGAATTCAGCGTGAGGTTTCCCTTCTGCTGTCCCAAAACTCTGACCCCCAAATTCTACTGAGGATGAGAGTGTGGGCTACTCATTGCAGTACGCACAAGGTCAGCTCATGGCCCAGACGACCTGTATGAAACCTGTGTGAGACCAGTAACACCAGACAAGTTCATATATAGCCAGCAACTATATAAAAGGGAGACTAGATCTTTCTTTACAGGTTCTAATGAAATGTCTATACAGGCAGTCCCCAGGTTACAAATGAGATCCATTCCCTAAAGCCTGTTTTATACCTCTGTGTAGAATCTACACCATAGGTAGCCACACAGCCAGTTCCATACCCTATACCATAGACCGATGTGCACCTCAGTAGAAATCAAACTACAAAAATCAAGCTAAATTTCATTTTTAGGTGAGCTGGAACAGTTACATATAGTTATTATTCAGTGTCAGTTAGTTGAATGTTTGTCTTAGTACATTATATATACTTCACCTTTCTGTGCATATAAAACACTTAAGAAACACTTCCAAATACACAAAAGCATCTTAAACATAATTATACAGTACATAAAACTAATAATACAGTAATAAGTAACTACATACAGTACTGTACTGTTCTTCGAGCCAACAAACTGCTGAAGTCACGCAATGTTTTCAATTGGCTTCACAAAGTAGTGAAATTATGAACCATTGTGTTTAACTCACGTTTTTAACAGGCTTTATGGCAGTAAGTATGAATTGTATGTAAGTTGGATGTTCTTCACCTGGGGAATGACTGTGCTTTATTATAGAGACTACTTGGGATTTTGATTTAAACATTGTGTTAAGCAAGTTCTACTGATTAAGGGTTTAAATGCAGCGTGTTGGAAACAGGAGTGACGTGGATGAGTTATTACTGATGTTTTCGTTCTACGCCTCCTGGCTCAGCAGGCCATTTCTAGGCTGGTGTGGGCCGTCCTCCACGCTCACATGCTTCGTGGGATGTGTCTGGGGATCCCCAAAGCAGGCGGGGCTGATGCGAGAGGGAAGAGCGGGGGGGTCGGGGGGAGGGGCCCATCACTGTGCCTCCGCGTGATGGTTAGCGGCAGCAGGCTTTGTGTCTGGTTTCTGGGAGGCCCTGTTGCTAGGCAGAAATCAGCCATGAAACACTCCTCCTACACGCAGCTGGGGGGGGGGGGGGTCAAACATCCTCGCTCTGTCAGCAGCACGAGGCATGAAGGCAGCGCCAAAAAACGGGTCTAGACTCAATGCTACAATCAGGCTGTGACCGAGAAACAGGCTCCCGCAGGCAGGACCTGGCACCTGAAAGAGACAGAATCTAGCTCGGCTGCCAGGAGCAGAACCGGGTCCAGGTTAAACACCAGAACCAAACTCAAATGCGGCGACAGAAGTTGAGAAGCATCATGTGATCTAAATAGGCCTATTGGAGAAAGTCTAAAGAGAATAACTTCTGCTAAAGGTTAAACAATGGATAGTTACATGTGCATTTTCGCGGTCTGTACATCTTTCACAATCTGCAATGACCAAAGAGGATGACTTTTGTTGTGTAACCCAGCTAAAATTAGCCCGCAGCAATATATATCCATCTTCGCAGTGACTCTTCAGTGGGCGCCGTTCACTTGTTTACATGCTGTTTTGCACAAAATCTACTCATACAACCAATTCAGTAGGAATGTATATGGCTTTATTCTCATTCATAGAGTATATTGCAGAAACATTTAAATCTGCCAGGTTTGCAATTGGAGAACACAGAGGACAGCATCACGTGAGAGTTACATATATAAACACCAGGAGGTTGTCATATTCCACTGGACTGGGAGACTGCACTGGCCTCAGACCAGTGTCTAAACACTGAGCGGTGTGTCTGCTGGAGTCAGTCTTCCTGGGATTGTTAGCTGATAGTACAGCCACGTATTGCACTCTCACAGCGCCCCTCCCCCCAACAGGCTTGTTGCCACGGCAGCTCACACCATGGAGCAGAGGGAGTGTGAGAAAGCTTCTGCTTTTCTTGGGCAGAAGTGCCACAGTGAGCTAAGCAAGCATGTCCGCTGGCACCAGCAGCATAAAGAAGATGGAATGAATACTCCATTTACTGAAAACTAGCTTATTTCCACCACCCGCTTTCCCTTCTCCCAGTGCTAATGTTGCATCTTCATCTCCGTTCCCTTGTGTACTGTTAGTATCACATCGTTCCCACCTCCCTACCACATTGCATTGTGGGTATGATGTCCTCTCCATCCCCCTGCCCCATTGCATTGTGGGTATGGTGTCCTCTCCACCCCCCTGCCCCATTGCATTGTGGGTATGGTGTCCTCTCCACCCCCCTGCCCCATTGCATTGTGGGTATGATGTCCTCTCCATCCGCCTGCCCCATTGCATTGTGAGTATGGTATCCTTTCCACCACCCTGCCCTGTCACATTATTGTCACGTCATGTCCTTCCTACTCCCCTGCCTCATTGTATTGTGGGTATGGTGTCTTGTCTACTCCTTGTAATATTGCCGGTATCATGTCTTGCCCACTTCTGTAGCACATTGCATTGTGGGTAGGGTGTCCTCTCCATCACCTTCGTCTCTTGCATTGTTGGTCCTTTGTCCTGCCCACCCCCTTGACTCATTGCACAGAGTGTCACTTTCTCTCCATCCTCCTAAGGAATGTGTCCTCCTTCCTTCCCTAGGACCAGGGCACTGGTTTCAGAAGTCAGGTACACAGGGAAGCACTTCCACATGGGCTTCATGACTATGCCGGCACCCCAGGACCGGCTGGGCCTTGCCCGTGGGGCAGGCTTCTCCGTACGTTCCCAGTCCCTGCACTCGGTCGGAGGCAGCGATGAGGACACCAGCCCAAGCTCGCGCAAGCAGCCGCCCCCGAAGCCCAAAAGGGACCCTAACACCAAGCTCAGCATTTCTTCAGAGACGGTCAACATGGGGCCATACTTGGGCAAACCATGGAAAGAGCAGGAGAAACACGAGGGTGAGTCTACGCATGACATCTGACCGTGGGGCCGTATCCGTTCTCTTAGGTTCTCATAAGGAACATGGCTGCTGCTTTTACAGTGAGAACGACAGGCAGCCAGTGCCTGGGGAGCCTGCGATGATTACCCATGTGTCTCTCACATCCCCCTCCCCTCCTCATCTCCTCTGCTGGCTGCTCACTGCAGCGATGTGTATTTGGGATTTGCTGCTGGGGTCTATTTTTAGAGCATTCAGTAGGATGAAGTCATTGGCTGCTTCCTCGAATGGAAAGTGTGCCCCCCTGGGGGGAGGACTGCCCCCACCAGAGGCCAATTGAATAGAGCTGTCAGGCAGCTCGCATTTTCCAGCATGGTAGATTTTCCAAAGGAAGCTGAGATCCCTAGTCCATGAGGGCCGTGGTGACAAACCCGCCTAAGTCTCGCAGCCAGAGTCAGAGGCTCTTCCATCTTCCAGAGAGGCACAGCAACCAACACAAAAACAGCCCCCCCATACACACAGAGGCCTGCCACAGTACAACCAATCACATCCCTCACTACTCAGTGGTGGGCGGGGCTGCCGACCGAGAGAGAATGCGTGAGCAGTGGTTATCAGCCAGCCCAAAATCCATTCATGCAGAGCGACTGACCCAGATTGTGCATCCATGGAGCAGGTGGGCATGGGGGGGGGCGGGGTGTGCTCAGCAGAGCTGAAACAGCTCAAGATGCGAAGCTGATGTCACGTGACTCAGAGCCCCCGGGCCCTCTGCTCCACAAGCACCCCTCCCCCACTGTCAGCGCTAACAGGGTTTCCCGTGCAGCCCTGCGTTTATCAAGCCTTCCTGGGCACCTTCATGTTTGCCCTTCACACATATCAGCCGAGCCCAGGACGATGTAGCTAGGCATGTTCGTTTGAATCCTGCTTGGCTGCTCAGGGGACAAGGTCATTGTCCTCCCCCTTCCCCCAACAAAGACACCCCCCTGAGCAAAGAAAGGATACTTTAAAGGTTATCTCTATAGTACTGATCCAGGGCCTCCTTGTGATTGAATGATTCAACTACAATACTTCTTTTGAGAACTCCGACAGTCTGAAGTTTCTCATAAAAGATGTGACCCTGTGATTGATGCTTGGGACATTAAAGTTTCTATACATTTGAACGTGTTGTGAGCGACCTTCAGGGACAATCCCTCTAGAACCTGGTCCTTGGGGACCTAGAAACGGTCCACGTTTCTGTTCCCTCCCAGCTCCCTGCCAGATGCTCCACATTTTTAACAGCAAATAATGTGGACTGTCTGTTGGTTCCTGAGGACCAGATCAGGGAACAGTGCTCTAGAGGAAAGGGCGTTTTTGACACTATTAAGAATGACATGGCCCATGTCTTGATCACACAGCCTCAAGGCCCTGCAGTGAAGACTTCAGGAGGGTCCCACCTCCCAAGCCCAAGAGGAACCCCAGCACCCAGCTGAGCACGTCGTTTGATGAGTCATTCATCAGGAACCATGGGACCAGCAAGGCTTCCAGAGCTGGACAGTCCTGCTCACAGACCCACAGCCCAACGCGGGATTCAGATGAGGATGAGCCTGTTTACATCGAGATGGTCGGCAACATCCTGAGGGACTTTCAGCGGGATGAGGAGGACGAGGGCGAAGCGGTCTATGAGGAGATGAAGTACCCAGCTTCTGATGACCTGGGTCAGGACTCCAGGGGTGAGCACCTAAGCACGTCGCCACAGTGCTCCACGCTCACCATCCCAGAAACGGAGCCGACACGCATCCCTGCCCCTTTCCCCAACCTGCTGAGCCACCGCCCCCCGCTGCTTGTATTCCCACCTGCCCCTGCCCAGTGCTCCCCCAACTCAGACGAATCGCCTCTGACACCCCTGGAAGTCACCAAGCTGCCCATGCTGGAGAACGCATCCTACAGCAAGTCTCCAGGCACCTCGGACAGGGAGCTCCCCGCCACGCACACCATTACGGCCTCCGGCCGCTCCTCCGCACCCCCCCTACCCTCCACCCTGTACAAGTCCTCCGCCCATGGCTACCCTCGCAGCCACTCGGCCTGCCCCTCCCCCGTCAGCATGGGTCGCTCACTCACGCCGCTCAGCCTGAAGCGGCCACCTCCCTACGAGGCGCTGACTGGGGGGGGACTTCCCCGCAGCGCCTCCGCTGTGGCCACCGGCGGGAAGGCGGTGTCCCAGGAGGGATCTCGGCTGTCCAGCTCTGGCTCCCATGGCTCTGTGCAGAACGTGTGCCGCGCTCGCACGCCCACTAGTCCGCTAGATGAGCTGACCAACCTGTTCACCACTGGGAGGAACATGCTGAAGAAGTCCTCCAGCAGCCGCAAGTCCAAGGAGCCAGCAGAGGGTGAGGATGTACACCATCCGGAGCAGTTAGTTCAGCTAAAAGCTAGTGCTAAAATCTAGTGCTAAAAGCTAGTGCTAAAATCTAGTGCTAAAAGCTAGTGCTAAAATCTAGTGCTAAAATCTAGTGCTAAAATGTAGTGCTCAAAGCTAGCAGCTGCTGTCATTATCAGGGCTCTCAAGTCTCATGCATGGACCATGAGATACACGCATTTCAACCAGTTCACACGCTCACATGCTGAGACCGAAGGGATAATACCCACCAAGGTGTCTCGTTATACAGAATTAATGGACGAGGCACAGGCATACAGAGTGGAGTTGTCCGCCAAGTTCATAGCTGAACCTGATCGAGTTAGACAGAGTTAATGGCCACCTACCAGGCGAATCAGACAATAGCATTTGTTGCATGTGATTCCGCTGCAAGCACGTTATTACATGGATGCGCACACATATGGAGCACAGACAAGGTGGAAGTGGCAGAGCAATATCTGAGCAAGATGAATGCAGTAGGCAGGGCTCTCAAGTGTCATGCATTGAGCGTGAGACACAGGCTGTACCCCTAACAGATGCAATCTCATTCCAAACTTTTGATGAAACCTGAGAGCCCTGCATTATAGCGAATGCTACAATACTCATCTATACTAATTCTTGGCTCTCAGTATAGAATATTGAGTAAATCAGTAGCATCCTTTACACCTAGTGTTTGTGCGAGTGCGTGCTGGGATCATGCATGATTTTTTTTATGCAAACCATTATATTTATAGTTACTGTATGGACCCAAGAACCAAGGCTTATTTTCCAAGCATAAACATGCTTTGTTTACTTGGTACGAAGATGCAGACAGATAGACCTGGCTCTGCAAGCAAACATTTTAAAATACAGTAAATAAAATAAATATACACCTAAACAAAAGTCTTAAAAATATACAGCAGTCACAATGCTGAAGATGCTAAATGTAGCCAGATTCAGTCCCTGTGAATCATTGCTGCTGGCATTGTGTGTGTACTTGGGTGGGGTTTTAAGGTGTAAGTAAGCTTTGGGTGAAATGCACTCTGAATTTATACAATTTCTAATGTCTAGTCCAGTAACTATTGCCTGACAGGGATGGAATGAATGAACAAAATAGAAATAAATAGCAAAGTAGGTTATGTCCCTCGTCTCCTCTTTGTACAAGAATCTTTTTGTGCACCTGTCACAATCTCTAGGACAGCAGGGCATATGTAAAGCATGTTTTGACAGCCACAGCAACAGAATGGCAACATGACTCACGGTGAGTAGGTGGTCCAGTCAAAAAGCAGGCCTTCTCTGATTACCTGGCTGTGAGAGATTGCGGATTCAGAAAAGAAGTCTTTTATAACCCTGTTTTATAAGACAGTGGGTGTTTTGAAAGCAGGCCAATAGATTAAAAAAGCCATGTTAATTCAAGAGCTTCTTCTTTTCACACTGAATCATGTGATATTGGCATTGTATTCCCACATGCTTTCTCCTATAAGGATTACTGAGGATCCAGTCAGGTTTCCGCAATCAGGATCCCGTAAGACTCACTGACAGTCTCACAGGATGTCCATCAGAGTGTTAATAAAAACTATTTTTGACATTGTGGCGACCATTTTTCAGGTCCCCACAAACATCTGTGAATTGAATCGAAAAACTAAAACTGCCAAAAGTCTCATATTTTGTTTGGTTACTTATGGTTAAAGTTAGGGCTGGGTAGGGGTTAAGGTTGTCGTGGTGTGATTAGAGTTTTCCCCATAGAAATGAATGGAGAGTCCTCACAAAGATATAATTAGAAACCTGTGTGTGTGTGTGTTGCGTGCATATTATATTGTGGGAAAACTGTTATTTTGATGTTGTGGGACAACTCAATTTTATAAAAGCCTGCGGCTGCAATCAAAAAACTAAAAATGTCAAAAGTTTTGTATTTTGCTTGGTTACTTATGATTAAGATTAGAACTGGTTAGGGTTTAAGGTTGTCATTGTTTGGATTATGAGGATCAAGTAAGACAAACCAAGGATTAAATTATGCTGTCAAAATGATGATCCAGTCACATTCTCACACTGATGATACTCTCATCTAACCCAACAATGAAAATCCGTTCAAATTCACAGAAGATTTGATCACATTCTCACATTGATCTTGTGAAACAAATCGATGATCCAATCATATTCTCACACTGAGGATACCATCACATTCTGACACAAAGGATGACGTCAGATTCTGAACCTCGGGGTCCAGCAGTGGTGGGCACAGTGGGCCAAAGGTTAGCTTTGATAACTGCTAATCTGCTAACTTCAAGGTTAAATTTGATAACACTAGACTAATAAACCGCAAAAAAAAATAAAAAATAGTGGAAACTAACGATAACCGCTAACGGCTAACTTTTATTATATGAATTTAGCCTCAGTTTGGTTTTGAAACCCTTAAAAACATAGCAAGAGATCTGAAATTCTAACCTGTTTAGCATTTTAGTTCCACGGGGCTGAAGTCATTATTTGGAAATACTTAGGACTTACCCAACTGGGGGATTGTTAGATTCTGTAGAGTCTCCAGGAAAATTTTTCTTTCAATGATATTCCATTTGCCAGATATAAGTGTTTTTGTCAGAGGAGTCCTATTCCATGACATGACTGACATTTTGCCCTCAATGAAGCCTCTTGGACACTACAAACGTGGCGCTGTTTACCCAAAACCAAGAAAGTGGGTCTCGGCACTTTATTGGTCTATAGCTCTGTCAATCAGAATGGGGGCCTGTATCATGAAGCAGGATTTCTTGCTTAGCTGGATAACTCGTTGGATTTAAGGTAGTCTGTGCTAAATGTAAGTGAACGAAGATAAGGTCCATTTAAACTAGGTACCTGAAATTCCACAAGTTATGTTACAAAACAAGAAATCCAGCTTCATGATACACACTCCAATTCTCCACAATTCTCCACATAGTTCAAGGTACTCCAGTTTAAATGAACGTAATTATCTTCGATCACGTATATATAGCCCAGACTACCTTAAATACAACAAGTTATGGACCAATCATGTCTTGCATTTGCACATAAAAGCAAGAACATGCCAACTTGACTGTCGCAGACGCACTCACAAAAGACTGGAACAAATATGTGTGATTTTAAGATTTACAAACGTTTTTGACCGCTCATAACAAAGGACAAACTGTGTTTACTTTACCTGCAAAAAAATGTTAGCAGATTTACAGCCAGTGAAAATAAATTTACCAGAAGCTAATTGATTTACTAACGGTTTTCAAATAGTGGAAACACTAATCCGCTAAAGAAAAAGTTAGCTTCACAGTGGTTAGCTGATTAGCAGAAACCTGCCCACCACTGGGATCCAATCATATTCTTTTCATAAGGATCCTTTATCATTCTCATTATGATGAGAATGAGACTACCTGAAGATCCTATCGGACTCATTGATGATCCAGTTACACTGTCATCCTGAAAATCTATACAGATTATGGCACTAAGAGCCAATGAGATTCGATAATGAAAATCAGATTTTCACACAGATGATTTAAACAGATTCTCACACCAACATTCCTGTCACATTCTCACACAGAAGACCCTGTTCGTTTCTTACACTGAGGATCATCTGAGGATATAATCATACTTTTACACTCTCACATTTTTAAGTGAACAAACAAGGAGACATTAATTGTGCCAAAATACTCTTTGTATCATCAAGCAGTGCTATTATGTATTTTTCTCCACAGTTGAAGTCAAGGTTAGATGCCACAGCACAGAACCTCTTCCAAGACATGACACTAAGGACAAGAGCAGCCACGGCACTGATGCCAGGAGAGACAGCAAGGACAAGATCAGCCACGGCACTGACACTAGGCGGGACAGCAAGGACAAGATCAGCCACAGCACTGATGCCAGGCGGGACAGCAAGGACAAGATCAGCCACAGCACTGATGCCAGGCGGGACAGCAAGGACAAGATCAGCCACAGCACTGAAGCCCGGCGGGACAGCAAGGACAGCAAAGATAAGATTGGACATGGCACTGACGCCAGATGGGACAGCAAGGACAAGATCAGCCACAGCACTAAAGCCCAGCGGGACAGCAGGGACAGGAACAGCCACAGTATGGAGGCCTTACCCGGGTGTGACAGCAAGGACAAGAGCAGCCTTGGCACTGACTCCATAAATGACAGCAAAGATAGCAGCTGTCATGGCACAGACTCTAAACATGACAGCAAGGACAAGAGCTGTCATAGCCTGGGGGGTTTGTCCAGGCCAGACAGCAAGGAGAGGGCCAGTCATAATGGAGGAAGTATGGACAACTCTAGAACCCATGAATGGGATGGGGTGACTGAGCAAGCAGCCCCTGCCACGCCCGCTCGACTAGGACAAACTTCTGTCAGTCCCACACACATGATAGGCTGCGGCAGCTCAGGTGAGAACAGGATTATAGTTTTCTACTGTAATGTGGCTACTCTGATGCAGCATTATGGAAACTGTCTTCTAGACCAATGTTTCTGAACCCGGTCCTCTGGGACCCCCTCCAGACAGTCCACATACGGTGTGTCTGGCAGGGAGCTGTGAAGGAGCAAAGATCTGGACTATCTGGGGGTCCCCGAGAACCGGGTTAAAAAACTGTTCTAGATTCTACTCTCAGCCTAGAATTGATTATATCATAGCTTGTATCATATAGATTATATCCTGATATTTATATTAATCCCTCGATACTGCAACTGATCCATGAACTACAGCTGTAGTAAAAGTGTGCAAACTCTTTGGAATTATCTTCCAATTATTCCAATTTAAATTATTCCAATTTAAACTAACATCACACAAACATTTGCATTTTTACTGAATAGTTTGTTTTAAAAATCACCATATAATCTGGAAAAAGCATGTGAAACCTGATAATTTACAACTGGTAGAACCTTTAGCAATAATAACCTCAATCAAACACTTCCTGTACTTGCTGATCAAACTAGGGTGACCAGATAATCCACATCAGGGATTACACTTTGAGCTAGGACAGGATTCGTAAACTACTGTTTCAATTAATAGGACCTGGATTTTACTTGAGCACTGAGTTCTCTCTGTGTGCTGATTGGTCAGTCTCCGATAATCATGCATACGTCACTAATGTTAATGTGAAATACCTGGATGTGTCTTTCAATCAAGGAAACAAAGCAGTCAATGGACAATCCTGGAGTTCCAGTGTACAGCAGGTTTTCCATCATACCTGGAGAGTTATTATCTGCCTGAGATCAGATGTGGTTCATCTGAGACCAGGCAGGATAGAAAACTCGCTGAATACTGGCAGTCCAGGATTAGGGTTTCCTACCTCTGCCCTAGATCAAACCGACACAGTGGTTAGTGGCTGGTTTGGTCTATTCCTCTTTGCAGAAGTGTTTCAGTGTAGTGGTACTTTGGGATGTTCTGCATGCACAGTTTGTTCAGGTCATGGTACAGTATATTAGTGGGGTTAAGATAAAGGCACATTGATTCCGCAATGGCTGCAAGCTGTCGAGTCAACAAGGCGCTAAAGCACGTCCCAAACCAGCATTCTCATCACACTGTCACAGTTGGGTTTGTTCTACGAAACATAACCAAGTGCATTTTGCAATAAACTCAGCTTTTGTCTCATCTACCACAGAATTTTGTTCCAGTAATGTTGCGGAACGTCTGGGTAGTCTTTTGAAACCTGAGACAGACAGCAAAGCTTTTTGGAGAACATGGGTTTAACTCACCATATCACCACTCTAAGTGTTATATAGTGTAAGACACTATAAGCAATAATAAGAGATTCCTATAAATGTGTGTATATCTGTTACCCTAGGGTGCTTTGGCACAATTCCTAAAATGGGGATTGTGCTCTTGCAGCAATCATTGCAGGATTCACACCCCTAGAGGGCAGAGCTAAAATAATACTTTTGTATAGTATCTGGCTGTGGATTGACAGAGACCCAATCATTTCAATCCTGCCTAATGAATCTCAGCACATCTTCTTCTGAGACCCCCTGAAAGCTCTTCCCTCTAATCATGAATTATATCACCAGCTCTCAGCTGTGAAAGGCAGCGTTTATTTCATGACCAGCCTTTGAAGGTTTTTATATAGGCACCTCAAAAACCACCTCCCCTCCTGACTCCAATCACTCACTCCGCAGACGTCAACAGCCTGCAATTTCACATACTGTTTCGGACCATGGATATTTCAACAAAATAAATATGACAAAGTATAACTGTGTGATTTTTGTTTAAACAGACTGTTTGATTATCTATCAGAGGTGTTGTGCAAACCAGATTTGTGGATAGGTACCATTTCAAAACAAGACACAAGGCATAAAAATACACATAACCAGTATTATCTTCTTGCCACTGAGATGTGACATCTTGCTGATGATGCGTAGAGTTATCGGTAGAATACGGGAATGATGAGGGATGGGGGGCGGGATTAAGCGATGCAATCTGATGTAGGAAGCTCCCTCATTGGCCAGAATACCCTGGGAATGATGAGGGATGGGGGGCGGGATTAAGCGATGCAATCTGATGGAGGAAGCTCCCTCATTGGCCAGAATACCCTGGGAATGATGAGGGATGGGGGGCGGGATTACGCGATGCAATCTGATGGAGGAAGCTCCCTCATTGGCCAGAATACCCTGGGAATGATGAGGGATGGGGGGCGGGATTAAGCGATGCAACCTGACAGAGGAAGCTCCCTCATTGGCCAAATTATCCTGACTGCAAGTTTACTACAAGTTTAACTACGTGTTATTCGCAGTCAATGTAGGAAAAATATTGATTGACTGAATAATTAATTTATATGTTGCTTTTTTTTTTATAAAATATTGGGTAAGCATGTGCCTACCTAAATTGATTGACACAACGCATCTGTTATCTATTATTAGACCTTAAGTGAAGATTAGACCACATTTTAGGAACAATTAATGGATAAATGCAAACAATTACAACCTCTAAACCAGAATATATCCTCCTGAGACCCAAGGAAAAAAGTGTCCTTCAATTTTAGGTTATTTGTCTTTGGGGAAATAAGACATCTTACAATTTAGATTTTTTCAAGTTTATTTTTATTTTTAATTTCACAGCATGTCCTCTTTAGTGTACAACAGGAATACATATGTTTCCTTACATCAGTGAAAAGATAGATGCGAAAACAAAATGTCCACTACAATGGACATAAATGAATGGGTGGGGTCTCTGGGGGATATGACTGTATTGTGCAGAACTGTGTGTCTAGTCATAGCAATGCTCCTTTTGCACAATACACTCTGCTTCAAAATTATTTATTGGAATATACTGGGCTATATCTGTTACACTGCATCATATATTTCACTTTTTGTGATGCTGTTTGTAATGAAGCACATCTTTTCAAGGGCCATTTATGTGGCAGATCATAACACAGGACAAATGTATGTTCTTAGCAGTCTATGTGTGTTAGGCCAGTATTTCTCAACCAGGCCCTTGGGGACCCCCATGCAGACCATGTTTTTGCTCCCTCCCAGCTCTCTGCCAGATTTGCTCCCTCCAAAACGTGGACGATCTGGGGATCCCTGAGGACTGGGTTGAGAAACCCTGTGTCAGGCGATCATTTTAAGGTGCTGTGATGGTGCTGTAATTGACACACTGGTTGTTCTGTGAACCTAATATGGGGGTTAGATTGGCTACGCCACCCTGACTATGGAGAGGACACAGACAGAATGTCCCGGGCCAACCTGGGCTCTCTCTCTCTACAGAAACGAAGGTCATTTCTAGGCTGGGCCGCTCTGCCTCCACGCCAGGCGTATCACCCCCCACAGGGACGCCTCAACGCCAGGCCCCCGAGCCGCATAACCAGGTACCCCTGTCTCTTCTATGTTCTGTCTCAGCAGTTGCCCTCCCACCCCTGTGAGCCCATGTGTCAGTCCTCAGCGTCCAAGTTCCTCCCCGTGTCTTGCCGGCATTTGTCGCCTGTGTCCCACAGCACGCAACCAGCAAACTTTCTTTAATGCAAATAATAATCTCAGTCCTTCCCCAATTCAGGGATTCAAGTGCTTCCCCAACGTTTGCCCTATAGGTCAATGGAACTGTGACCCCACAAAATGCCACCCGTCTTTCTCCCCGTCTGGTGCAACGCAGTTAAAGTTCTGTCTTGCAACCACATAGAACCTTATTCCATCCCATCTTCTTCTATTCAGCACTTTACTCCTACTTCTCCACAAAACTTTATAAAAAATAAAATAAAGCCTTACCAAACACCTGTGTTTTCACAGCTTGTGGTCTTGGAAACAGAATAGTCTGAGTCACAGCGTATGCGGTCAAAAGAAATCCCTGACAAGATCATGGATGCTAAAAGATGTATAATGTTGCCATTGACTGTTAGAAGGTATCCTTACGTATACAGGCCCCGTACATGCACAGTGAAAGCAGAATGGCACACAGTGCATAAAATTGCTGAGACTTTATATTCTAAGACACATTGATATACCAAATCAGAGATCCCCCGAACAGTCATAAATACACTGAGCAGTGTGCTGGGGACCATCTCTGTGTCCTGTTTTACTGTTCCGTGAGACTTGTGAGCGCCTGTGTTTCCCTGAAGCACATCTTCCTCACTACTGTACCAGCTTATATCATTTACTGAGAAGCCACAGCTGTACAAAAGCACGAAGTAAATAGCTGTTCATTCACCAAGCTCTGCATTCCCTGCTCCGTAAGTCAGGCTTTAGGGCACCAGCCCAGCCTTGGTTTAGGCCCATGGGGATATCAATGCTATGTATCCTCAGCAGGTGCCATCATTACCATGGGTGTGCAGGGACAGCACCATGCTGGAGACCATAGAGAGGAAACGTGTCCTGTGCAGGGAGATCCGGGCTCGACAGCGGCCCGACAAGAGCCTCAGCAAGCAGGAGAGTCTGCCAGTGTTGCCCAGCTGGAAGAAGAGCGCCGGGGCCAAGATGTGCAGCCCACCCCCATACCCGGCTCACACCACTGTCTTCTGGGACACTGCCATCTGAGATCTGGGCCCATCCCAGGAATGACATGTACACGGTGACAGCCAATCAGGGCAGTGAAATAGCCCATGGTGCATATTAGCATTAATGATTAGTTATGTCATCATATCTTCTTTTTATTGTTTATATTACTTTTCCTACTTGATTTAATAATTGAATAGTACCGTCATCTATTTTGAAACTGTCTAGATTAATCCCATCGTAGAGTTTTTAAACTGGTTTCGGTGTTTATGTTTGGCTCGGTCAGCCTGTTGCTGTCTTTCTTAGCAGATGTCAGATTCAGCAAGTCCAACTATCAGAGCTGAGAACTATTTCAGGTGGATATATTTCGTAATCTGGGGTGGCGTCAGCAGCAGAGACAGTCTGGACCCTACGAAGACGTCCCTGGAGACGACTTCACCATGGTTATGGGGCACTCTGCTTTAAACACTTGACACACTCCGCTCGTCACGGGTCATGCACCTTGCTGTCCGACTGGCAGCATGGAGAGGTAGAGAGAAGGAGAGTCTAGAACAGGTTACATAAAATATATGTAAATTGTATGTAAATCACATGTACATTCCTTTGGCAATAATTGTGAGCACTGTTCATGATAATAAAGCACCTTGGAGTGTTAGGGGTAGCAGTGAGACTTTTGGCCTTATACACAGAAGGCATAGAACGTTTCCTCTAGAAGAAAAATCATATTTTCCATTAACCTGCCACTGTCTTTACTAGCAGTTAAAGTGTTTCAAGTATTACCCAGCATGCACTTTGTTAGTGGCAATAAATATGACACCACCTGGCCTTATTAATTTCCCGCAGTGAGGCCAGAGGTCCCTGGAAAACTGAGAAACATATCAGTTGTGAGGCCCCAAAGAGAATATATGCCCGTCGTTAAATATAGGACCAGCAATCTGTTATAGAGAACTCAGTTTGATTGATTGACTTCCTTTATAAGTTAGTTATAATTTAAAAATGATATTTAGTTGGTGTTGGACATCATGTTACTGCCAAATTACTGGCTGTAACTTGCGGAAGCGGCAACATGTAGAACAAATATGTGTTGTGATGTGTGTTTTCGGTGACGGGCTGCCATACTGGCTGGGTGTTTATGTGTAAGCCGTAGAACTCTCCTGTAAATCGAGGCTGTGTGAAAACTCCTGCACCTGTTATTCCCAGAAAAATACCAGTTCCCCTTTCTGACTCTTGTGACTGAAACTCCTTTGCGTTGCCTTGGAGACCGGGGTTCACTGTGACTAAAAGCTTAGAGTCCCTTTGGGGTTAAAGGTCTCTATAACTGGTGAGGCTAGGAGCAGCTTAGTGCTGCTCTATTACCATATATCTGTGTCGAAGTTGAGGTCCTCTTAGCATAAAAGGGCCTGTGGGGATTTCAACTAGAGCTCTGTCTCTAACTCCATGCAGTGAGACCTCCAGCTGATAGGGGGCCCTCTACCTGTACACAGTTCACTTAAAACATAATACTTTGTTGCATACAGTCACATTCACTGTCTGCTTTTGGAGTGAATTGTTAAATATGATGATGTTCAGCATATTTTTTTGTGAAGTACAGAATTCCTAGATCCTCAGTAATGTCACAGGTCTGGTCTTATTGCACTGTGTGTTCTATTTTTATGTTATGAATTATGTGAGGAAAAGTATGCTTATTGTAGGACTGTTTCTAAGTAATGACAGAGTTTAATGGAATAAAGTATGCACTAAATTTCACTGCAAGCAATTGCAGAAACACGCTTGCTTCTTGTATTTGAGTCTACAATGAGTCTGGCCCACGACTCCTACAAATTACATTTTAGGTTTTGAATATGTCAGCTGTAGGGCTTTTAACCCTCACTTCTACTCTGAAGTTTGATGGATTAGATAAAGATGGATCTGTAAATAATACATTGTAAACAGTACAAAAATGACCAGTTTATTGCCCTCAGTTTAGAAGTATTATATATTGACACACACACACAACACACACACATACATACACAAATTCTATTCAAATTAACTTCAATCAACTACATGTTGTTGGAACAAGAACAATGTATTCTGGCCCTGTCACATCCCCATCTAATGAAACCAGGCATAGATCTTCATTGAAATAAAATGTTTTTGTGAATTTGCAGTCAGCCTTCCCATTGCTGCTACTACTGTAAGTGGCATTGCTTTAGTTTTGGTGTGATTTTTCTCAGAATTTTATCCAATCTAGATATTCAACCACACAGTGTGTCTATAAAGTTTGAAAAAGATTAATCAAACACTTTTTGAGTTATCCCGCTAACAACATCAAGTGACTGTGATTGCCCCTCTCACTGCTATCACTAAGCAGCACTGCTTCAATTTTGGAGTGATTAGTCTCAAAATGTAATCAATTTCAGATCTTTATTGCAGACTGCAAAGTTGAAAAATATTCATCAAATACTTTTTAAGTTATTGTGATGAAGAGAACGTGTCTGCAGTGACAGCAGACCAGTCTCAAAACTATATCAATACCCCATCCAGGGAATACAATCATAATGTTTTTTAAAATGGTGCCCCAGATTACATAAACAATTCAATGTATAACCCAGATTTTCCTTTGCCAGCTAAAAAAACAGCCATAACCTGACAATACACATATTCTCTCTGATACCTTGCAAATTTCCTAAAGGAAACACCAAGCTATCCTAGTTATCGGGCCACCATAGTGTTGCTGGAAAGAACTGTAATGAATTTGCTTTAAAGTTTCACAAGCAATCCTCAGGTAGTATGCAATTAGCATTACAATACATAAAAAGGAAGGACACAATTTTAGAACTACCATTTCAATGAATTTGGATCTGAATTTCACTTAAGCACTGAGTTCTTTCTGTGTGCTGACTGGTCAGCCGAAGTGTCATTATTATTATTGTTGTTGTTATTAAAACCTGAAGTAGCTCAAAGTGTCCTCCCTGACATGGATTAGGCAGTAACTGTACATGCAATGACTGTTTTGCTAGTGGAATCCCTATATCAAGCTGATAAATTAAAAGTCAGACTGAAAGACAAATTTGGAAATTACAAGCACAAACCCTTCTGCTTACTCCATCTGTCTTCTTCTGGTCCCCCCAGACCTTTCACCTTCAGTGGTGATTGGCTGATTTGTTAATGTGGAAAAAAATACAAATACCTGGTAATTTTACACAGCATGTTCATTAAATGTTCTACAGGGGGTGACAGTTTCAGGTACTCAGACAGAACTCAGTTAGCCCAGCTAACAGGGAACGTTCCCAGAACTTTAGCTAATGAGGTCTCCTTAAAGTTTGCAGAAAAGGTTCTTGTTGTAATGTTAATGCAAGGTTATTTCCACGTATTAACATTTTAACACAGGATCTGCCAATATTAGCAGGATAACATTATTACCTGAACATCCTTTCATCATAATTAATGTTGAAAAATATTGTTTTATAATAAAACTATTAGTTTGTAAAGGTGCAATATGTATATATTGCAAATGTACTTTCCAGTGGAGAGGTGAATTAAACAAGCCGAGAGCGTTCATTTATAACGGATCAGTGCTTCAAAACATATTATTTGCATGCAATTGAGTGTGAGTGACATTTTATGTGAGAGAAGTCATTTCAGTCAATATACTGAAAAAAGGAAAATATTATTCTGTTCAATGCCTAATTGTCCTTAGTCTGAATTGTTACTTTGAGTATGTCGCCCCCTGGTGTCATGCTATTACCAAAATTAACAAAGCACCTCAGCAGTCTGTTATTATTATATTATGGATATCAGGCCAAAACCAGTTAAGGTCCTTTCTTATTTGCATTTACACCAGCACTGACACATGGTGAAAACTGCCTACAATCAGCACTAACTTATAGAGCAGATGGAAGCACCGTGTTGGTTAGTCACCAGTCAAGACCAATGAGTGGAATCTCTTAGTTTTTCCTAGCTGCAATTGCATTGTTTAGAGACAACAGAAGGCACAATAACTTGGCCTCCCCCCCCCCCTCCCCCATGAACACCCCATGAAATGGCAAGCACAAATAGTGGTCAAATTGTTGTTTTATGTTTAAGCCTGACAACTGCTTTCACAAATGTTCAGAAATGGTTATTGAGCAAAGGAAATTTATTATTAACCTTTGTGATTTTTAAATAAAGGAATATTTTAGTTAATAGGGTTGTATTTTAGTCCAAAATTTACAAATGTTTGTAAATACATACAGTATTGTTAGTTATTAAGAAAAAGTTATTTTTAATTTAACAAAAGGAATATTTATTTTGAAAAAGAATGGGAAAATGTTGCATTTTCTGATAATAAATTATTATTATTATTATTATTATTTTAATCATAGGAAAATCGCATCATGAATCCAATATCATGAATTGAACCAAATTATAAAATGAGTGAATCTTTACATGCCTTGAATTTGTCACATACAATTACACAGTTGGTGATTATGTAATCCACATTATGTATTACTGTATGCGTTTCATCTAATAAGTAGCCTGTTTATTGAAATGGCAGCTACGTTATGTGATACCTTCATCCAGTAGGTCTAAATGAAGAAGAGCATCACTCCTTAATGCAGACATTGCACCTGCTGGCTTGTTGACGCTGTTGCCACTCCTCCTTGAGTATAGCTGATGAGGGGGCGGAGATGAACTGCTCAGCCATATCCACACGAGCTAACCAGAAGCTGTGAAGTTTAGAAAAATAGTGGCAGGTTCCCCGTGGACCCTGGCATTCAATGACCGGTTGGCTGAGGAAGTCCTTGAGGCAGCTACCTGAGGAGGCCAAGGATGGACCACCCCCCGTGTCACCAGCCCCCGTGTGCTGCAGAAGAGATACAATCCACAGAGAGTGTACTCAATCATACAGATACGAACTAACACCTACAGAGCCACTACCACAGGTATAAGCAAACAGACACAAGGCCACACTTATTCATACTCTGAGACAGAAATTAAGCAGACGATTGTTTTTCATCTCAAAAACAGATGAAAATAAAACAAAATACACTAACCCATATACTGATATCCACATAGGAGTACAACATTAAACGACTGTCCTATCCAGATGCCATTGCTCTGACTGGTTCAGGTTAGCTTCCTTTCTCACCATAAGAAAGGTGTATCCCATCCACAGACTCCTCCAGCCCTTGTGGCAGAGTGGTGTGGACATGTCCTGGCTGTGAACGGCGACGGCAGGAGACTGACCCTCACACACCACACAGCGGCTTATGGAGCTCGCAATCTCGGGGCCCGACACCGGCATCACGGCCATGGGCGTGGCGGATGCCAGCCAGTAGGATTTGTCATTGTGGCTGGCATAGCTGCACGCAGCAGCGTCGCAGTAAACAAACGGCATGGTGCTGAATACTCTTAAACACGACCCAACTTCACCTGGAAAAGACCATCTTGACTTTACCACCAAGTATCATTTCATCCCATTTTCACACCAATCTACAAAATTAGAGTTCATCTGGAGTTCAAGCTCGTGGTAGAGCCTCCCTTGACAGACTGGTTTATGCAGAAGAACAAGAAACAAAAACCCTTAATGAAAGGTACCAATAAGACCACATATACTCTGCACAAAATAGGGTTACCGGTGCCCCCCCCCCCACCACACTTAATTGATGCCTCATGGAAATATGTTCAGATGTATATGAGTATAGAGGTACATACCTAGGTCCTGTAAATGCGCTTTCTCCTGACGCTCAAAGTGGAGCAGACTGTAGCCACTCCAGAGAGGGGCCATTCCTAATGGACAGACTGGAACTGCATTTGATTGGCTGTGTATCACCAGTGGATAACTAGAGTAATAATTCCTACAAGGCCCCGGTAGCCCTGGTTCTCCCTGGGAACCAGGAGGACCTCAGAGAGAGAGACAAGACACCATTAATAAAAGAAATATTACACACCTATATCATGGGGAGAAATGAGGTGGAGCAGTACACAGTAACAGACTAAGGAACACTGGTAGGAAATGAGGTGGAGCAGTACACAGTAACAGACTAAGGAACACTGTTAGGAAATGAGGACCCAGAGGGAACATTCTCAACCTTCTAAGTCTTCCTACCCTGTAGACCCATAGTGCCTTCATCCCCCGGAACACCCACGTCACCTGAAACTCCTGGGGGCCCAGGGGGCCCGTCTGGCCCGGGGAGCCCTAATGGCCCTGGTTCACCCTTCCTTCCTGGAAAAACATAAACACATCACCACAAACATAGCATTTAATGCACATATTGGGTACAGTAAGTCCCCAGGTTAAGAACATCCAATTTACGGACAACTGGAAAACATTGCGCGGCTTCGGTGGATTGTCATGATTAATGTTACCATAATGTTACCTCATGAATGCCCCCTCTGGTATGCAAGACATTGATGGCACAAGAGTAAGTGTCAACCTTAAATCATGATATTTTTCCCTTTTTATCTGTCTATCTGTTTAAAGAATAATAATAATAATAATAATGATAATAATATTTACAAACACCCAAATATGTTTAAGATGTTTTAGGGTATTTGGAAGTGTTTCGTAAGTGTTTGATCCGCAGTGAAAAGTTAAATATATACTCTGTACTAAGACAAACATTTCACTGCCTGATGATGAACAAGAACTATATGTACCTGTCCCAGCTTACCTACGAATTCAACTTAAAGACAGACTTAGGATCCCGTAACCTGGGGACTGCCTGCATGAGGTCCCGCCTCACTTGTGTAACCAGAGCTGTCCTTACCCTGTGTTCCAGGGCTTCCTGGTAAGCCAGGAGAACCTGGGAGACCTGGAGGACCCATAGGCCCTGGGTCACCTGGGGGCCCTCTGTGTGGAAATGGAGGGCGTCCAGGGGGGCCTGAAGATCAGAGATTCAAATTTCACTGCATAACTTTTTTTGGGGAATTTCGATATATAGTAATGCTCACAGTGGTGGCCACAGAGTGTCTGTTCCTGGTTTCTGTGATTTGTTGACCACAGTGTCACACTCACCTCTTTCTCCAGCTATTCCTTTGTCTCCCTTGAGCCCTGGGAGCGCCGGTTGTCCTGTGCGGCCAGATGGCCCCCGATCACCCATTTCCCCCTGCGGCCCTTTATCACCTGGCAAAGACAGCCATGCTCATACAGTAATGCATGGGCATCAGGAACATGCAGCATGACCAATACAGATGGATAAATCTCAGGTCTTACCCTTGAGACCTGGCAAACCCGGGTCCCCAGGGTGTCCAGGAAGACCGGGGGGGCCTGCATTTCCTTTCAGCCCTGCACACCCTGATTGCCCAGGGTACCCTGGGTCACCTGGGATTGAATATGTTGGACCTGGAAGTCCATCTTCACCCGGTGGTCCTGAAGCCCACAGACACATGAATGTACAAAATGAAGTGATCTTACTATCCTCCATCTCACTCTCAGTTTTACACACACAGCTCACCTGGCCACCCATTTGCACCAGGTAAGCCCAGATCTCCGGGCGGCCCAGGGATGGCAATCCTGCAGTCCTTTCCTTTTGCACCAGAGAACCCAGGCTGCCCTGGAAGACCTAAAAGAACAAAACCAGACTTTCGTACCTGCCAGCTTTAATGGGCCTTTATTCCACCATAACACCATGACCATTTTTTTCACCACTAGAGCCTTGCTGTGGTATCACTGTCTACACATGTGGAATCTTGATCCTGCTTATATCCAGCTTTAAAGTAGTATTTCTAAACCCGGTCCTCAGGGAGCCCTAGATTGTCCACATTTTTGCTCCCTGCCAGACAGTCCCCATTACAAAACCTTGAAATAGTCGCCTAATGTAGTGTTTCTCAACCCAGTCTTAGAAGACCTCCAGACCATCCATGTTTTTGTGGACTGACATAAACTTACAGGAACATTATATCTGTAATATCTGTAAACTGCATTAAATGTGGGCTGTCTTCCAGAGAGCTGGGAGGGAGCAAAAATGTGGACCATTTGAGGGTCCCGATATGCAGCAATGAGGGAGCAAAAACGTGGACTGTCTGGAGGTCCCTGAGCATTGGGTTGAGAAATAAGGGTTTAAAGCACTTATACGTAATGTGATAGTGCCTTATATCTGTATGTAAAACACAACAGTGGTTATGTACATGATAGGAGCTTGTTTTTGTGTGTAAAGTAGCACATGGCAAACGCTCACTAAATGTGCGTATTATGATGGATCATCCTCATGTGTTCATTTTCAAACCCTTCATACCTGGCTGTCCATTTGGGCCCCGCTGGCCGTTTGAGCCTTGATACGCAGCCCCTGGAGGCCCCTGCCTGCCTATAGGTCCCTTGACACCTGGGGATCCTGGGGGCTCTGGAGGACCTGGCATATTTGAACCTAGAAGTTTGAAGCATGTTCAATGCGATCCATCCATTAATTTTCTACATCTATGGTTTTTGCATCATGTGTAAACAATGCATCTATAGTAAGTTGTCCATGTCAGTGACCGTTTATCATATGCGAGGTATGTTTGAACCTGCACCTCCCCATACGTACCTCCTGCGCCCTTTTCACCCTTCTGCCCCTTCAAACCATCCAGCCCAGGCAGACCCATGGTTCCTGGTGCACCTGAGCAACAATCACACTCATATGTGACATGTCAACCCTTGGTGTTTTACAACCACAAATATCACTAGTCACTTTTCGAGCAATTAAAAGTAGCCAGGCACAGGTATTTTACTTAGTATTGACTCTAAACTAGTAAAAGAAATTGCATCTTTTAAGTTACACTATGCCATGTACTGTAAAATTAAATTTGAAGTCATTTTACTTATAATAAAGCCAAGAAATCACCTCTATCACCCGGCTGTCCAGGATATCCCTTAGGTCCAGGACGTCCAGGGGGCCCTACTGGACCTTGAGGCCCATGATTACCAGGTGGACCTTCTTGACCAAAAGAACCTGAAAACAAGCATGTACATTTAGGCCTACATCAGAAAGAGAGAGACAGAGACTGGACTGCAGCCGAAGGAGAGTCGTCCTACCCGGAAAGCCAGGAGGTCCTGCAGATCCAGGATGACCCGGGGGTCCAGTTAACCCCGGAGCACCTGGCCAACCTGGGTCACCTGTATCGCCTGGTTCAACTGCTGTGGTGAGAGTACATGCAGCAACCTGCATTTAAGCAGCACTGGGGAGTCTTTTGGATGAACACAGCTAGACATAATCATCTCAGGTGAGTATTTAAAGCCATCTGTCTAATAACGTGCAAAATGCAAAGTACTTACCAGGATGATCTGCAAATATTCCATATGCAGATGTGAGGATTTTGGTGAGGGAAACAATATTCACAGACACCACAAAAACAGAAGTGTAAACAGTTATCCTCATCTGACAAATCACACTCTAACTTGTGCATTGTTAGTATAGCCGGTAGGTTCCAAGAAGGTAGGAGAATGCTAGTCTATGGCAGTGTCTACCCATCATCCGAGAAGCTGATCTCCATCCATTAAAATATAGGTATCTCACCACATCCATGCCTGTCATCTCCCGGGACACCTTTTTCTCCAGATGGCCCTGGAATACCTATAGATTCTCCAATATCGCCTGTTCAAAGACACATTTAGGAGTTACTAACCCCTAACACATTCCTTGTCACCTCTCTGACACAACCACGAACCATAATTAACTTCACCTGTCACACCTGTGATTGTCTCACCTTTCATACCTACAAGTCCTGGAATTCCAGGGTTGCCAGGAGGTCCATGGAACCCTGGATCACCCTATTACCAAGCATCAGAAAGAGTGTAAGTGAGGGCAAGTGTGCTGACTGTCTCCTCTATGAAAACTGTCCCAATTCAATGCACTTTGCCACGTCCTGCCTGCCACGTCCACATGACCTTCCTGACTCCTCCCTGGCATGGCCCTAACAAGCCATGCCTTACCTCTCATTCCTGCCCTTGTGTTAATCACTCCTAGCTGGCTCTTGTTAGCTCCCTCGTCAGTCTTGTATATAAGTGCTTCCCAGTCCTGTGTTCCCCAGTCCAGTTATTGATGTCAATCCCTCGTGTTCCCCGTGACACCCCTCGCTCTCTGCTTCCATTTTGATCCCTCAAGAATGTGTTTATTTCGCGTTGTTGTTCTTTTGAGTCAAATAAAACCTCTTGTTGTTCCACTACAACGCCTGCCCCGGGTTCTTTGTCTCTCATGTCATGACACGATTATTCATTAAAGGATGCAGAGATAAAATAAACCACCAAGTGCCATGTCTATGACTGGCTCAGGATTGTTATTTTATCACTAATTATATTTATTTGCAATTTAACATTTTTAAACACATGCATACAAAAGTTTCAGATATACAGTACGTCTATCACACACGGCTTGCATGAGCATTTATACTGCAGTGCACATGATAGCAACTATACTGCAGTACACATGATGGGGTGATAGGAAGTCATCATTAGCAAAAGAACTATCAATGATACTCCAGGCTGTAACATCTAAACTGCAAAGAATAATATCTAAGCATCATTGCAGAATACTGTACAGACACATAATTAGTGGATATTACTGGATCCATTTAGGTCAGTAGAAACCACACCTGATCACCAGGGATTCCTGGGAATCCCATGATGCCGATTGAGCCACGGGAACCAGGACAGCCTTTTGGGCCAATTGATCCCGGTGACCCTGGTAACCCCAGGGGTCCCTTCACCATCCCAGGAGGTCCTGGTGGTCCGGGATCACCAGGTCGTCCTTTGTACCCAGCCGTACCTTTCTCTCCTGAGGTAAACATGTACAGAAGCACACAAATATGTGCACAAGTATGCACGCATAATCACCCTGTCATCAATTTTAACCAACAGCAGGACCATGCAGCAGTAGTCTGCTCAGTGATAAATCTGTTTTCAATGTAGAGCACTTCTGGTCACTCTTAAGATCTACCTGCTTTCTATCCTCAAGTCCTCTTACCTCTGGGTCCTGAAAATCCGTTTGGGCCACAGGGACCCTGGTCTCCCTTATTCCCTTTGGTCACAGATCCAGGATTCCCTGTATGGCCCTTGCTCCCTGGGGAGACAGAGACAGTGATAGATTAACTACTACAAAAAAAGAATGAAATAGACAGCACAAAACAGAGATTGAGACTCAGTACACTGATGGACATGCTAGAAAAGCATGGACAGACTTGTAGTGTGTGATTTTATACATTGTGACTGTGCAAAAGGGTAACTATGCTAAAGCTACCTTTTAGTCCTTTAAGTCCATGTTCACCAGGGGGTCCAGGGCAGCCATTGGCTCCATTATCTCCCTTCCTTCCAGGAGGACCAGATGGGCCAGGCAGCCCTGGGTAGCCATGTGAACCTTTTTCGCCAGGGAGCCCCTGGACGCCTGCAGAAGTTCACATTTCTAGTCTATCTGATTACTGATACAGTACCTGTGTGCCAGGTGGCTGCATTACCACTGGGTTGCTATACAACATCACAATGGCACAGTTACGCATCGTAACTCAATATGACCTCTTACCTTTCTGCCCAGGTACACCAGGCCTACCGCTGTCTCCAGGATGGCCCATGGATCCTGGCGCTCCAGGGTCTCCAGGGAGCCCAGGTGGGCCAGTTGGTCCAGGAGGGCCCTTTGAGCCACCAACTGCCAGTCCAACACTTCCCACCTCACCTTTCTCACCCTGAGAGCCTTAGAAACAGAGCACCATCAATACAACCAAGAGACAGCAAATCGGCATTGTAACACCACTCACAGTAATATCACTTGAGCGGGAATATCTGTGCACCATACCTGGAGGGCCCTGGAAACCATTGTAGCCTGGTGGTCCTGGCTGACCTGGGGGTCCAACACACAGTGCCCTGCCTTTGGGCCCTGGAGGGCCTGGCTCTCCTTGGTCACCTTGTACACCTCTGTGTCCCTCTGCTCCAGGAGACCCTCCTGGCCCTGTGGACGCAATGCAAGAGTGAGGCAAAAAAAAATAACAACTTATACACAAACACATATACACAAGATTCAAGTGCTGAACCACACATTGTTAAGCATCCACCACATCCAAGGAATTCCGATTGTGATGTGAAAAATGATACCTGAAAACATCAGAACATTGTTCAAAAATAGATGAAAGATTTTATAAGCAAATCTTAAAAAGGGAAAGGTGTTTCCTCACTGGGAATACTCCAGAGAACTTCATTACAGTTAGCTCTTCAATAGTTTCAAGCCTGAGTGGTAGAAAATACAGTTGTGGCCAAAGGTTTTGAGAATGACACAAGTATTGGTTTTCACAAAGTTTGCTGCTTCCATTTTTCCGGGGAAAAATCTGCGATATAGCGGGGGCGCGATAGCTGAACCGCGATATAGCGGGGGATAACTGTATATAAAAAATTGCCATCATAAAAACTGAGGCAGCAGACTTTGTGAAAAATAATATTTGTGTCATTCTCAAAACTCTTGCCCACGGCTGTGTACACTGACACATATATGCAGTGACATAAAGATAAACATTGGTTTTCCCTGTTTGATGACATCAGTCACAATGACCTTCAGCTCCAGGTAGACCCAACAGTCCTCGTAATCCTTTAGGGCCTGGAAGACCAGGCGGTCCTCTGAGTCCTATAATGCCTGGACTTCCGGGCACTGCCATCCCAATCACCCCCTTCAGTCCAGGCAGCCCCTCTGGACCTCGTGCGCCAGGGATGCCATCAAGACTGGGTCCATCAAAGCCCCTTTCTCCAGGGTCACCCAGGGGTCCTGGAATCCCTGCAGAAAGACCACAAATGTGCATGGTAAATGTATTGCATTTATATAGCACTCTTCTACTCCTACTGTATAAGCACTGAAAGCGCTTTACAATTCATCCCTCACACACACCCATCCACACACCCATGGCAGAGGCTGCCATGCAAGGGAGCAATTTGGGTTCAATGTCTTACTCAAGGACACTTTGATGGGTCAGAAGGAACCAGGGCTTGAACCTGCAACCCTCCAGTAGCCCAACAATAGCACTACCACCATCGCCAGGCAGCAAGACAAGCTTTGTGAGTAACACAGCGATGTAACCATGAGCCCATGTACACACGTGGAAAGTAAGGCAGAAAAACAATAACACACAAAAGACAAACTCGCATACATCTCTGCACATTTTCTCACAAGGTGTGACATACAGACACATGTTTTCTCTTTTGGTACCTTTGGGTCCATATTGAGTTTGCTCCCCCATATCTCCTTTCTGTCCCTTAGGCCCATCATAACCTGGCATTCCATTAATACCAGGACGCCCTGGATCTCCTGGGCTCCCTGGGCAGGAGCATTATTATGGAGATTACATCACTTCCAGCCAATAAGGACATCGGACTCGCAAAGCCTTTCCCACCTTTAATCTTGGACTAGATTCTTGATACTCACCTGGGTATCCCATCATACCCTTGGCCCCAGGCGTGCCTGGCTGGCTGGGTATACATGGCAGCACATCACCTGCTCAATTGTTGTGGAGTCATATGGGTTAGTGTAAAAGTGTGCAGAGCTGCCATTACAACTCTCAGAATGGACTTTTAACCCAGCTGTGTTGAATAGACAGTAAGGTAGTGTCTAGGCAAATTAATGAATGAAGCCATTCACTCGCCATTTAAAACCCCACCCACACATTATTCATTAATAATCAACATATTAGGAACTTCAAATGTCCAGTATGTTAATCAGTATATTAAGCAGAAACAAACAAACTGAGAAAACTACCTGGATCAAGGTCAGTACCTGAAGGACCTTTAAGACCAGGTGGCCCTGGCCAACCTGGGCGACCCTGGTCACCTGGGGGCCCCGGTGGCCCTATCGGCCCCACGATTCCATTACCAGGGGGACCCATCGGACCTGGTGGACCCTTAGGACCTTCGACACCCATATTCCCTGAATCACCCGGAAATCCTGGATAAGTGTCCCCCTGTGGAATCAAAGAAACCTAACCTGTAAAGAGTATCAGAAAAAATAGGCCACAACAATCAGTCAAATACATCGCAATCAGAAATAAACGCTGAGCTACCGGTGGCCCGTGATCACCAGGGACACCTTGGGCACCAGGTATCCCATCAGGCCCAGGAACGCCGTGAGGTCCTAAGGAGCCGGGAAAGCCCAGGTCACCCTTTACACCTGGGAAGAAAACAAGATCTTTCAGAAAAGCCAGGTGGTGCCAAACAACAACACAGAAGAACCATTACTGTGGTGACAGACTCCTGCTGTCCTGATGGTCACTGGTCCCAGTTTGTCACACACATGCGACTCACCTTTAATTGCTGCTGTGTAGGGGTTGCCTTTCTGGCCTTTTACCCCTGAGGGGCCAGGCAGTCCTGGAAGCCCCTGAACAAGAAACAAAACACTAATGAGTGAAGTGACTCGAAACACCCTGTGACTTTAAACACACTGTTTTTCTCACCCTCCATGAGACACAACTGTTTTGGGCTCCTGGCACGGGGTCAGCAAGCATCCCTGGAGTAACTGGGGTTAACGGCCTTGCTCTGGGCACAACAGTCATATTATTATTCTCCTCTAGCAAGAGGTAGAGTCTGACTTACGGGCGGCCCTTGCAGTCCTATATTTCCTGGGTCACCCCTGTCTCCCCTTTCTCCATGTTGACCGTTGCCCCCCAGAGGTCCAGCAGGGCCCATAGGGCCTACAAGACCCGGCACCTGAAGCCAATGGCCATCACATTGGCACTCCCCAGGGTAGCCTGTACACAAAAGGTAGGTACTGGGACTCACATTGTGATACCACAAAATTTCCTTACAATATTTGTAGGTGACAGCTGTCAAGGGAGGGGCCTTAGTTTACGAGAGGGGGGGGGGGTAAGGGCTGTTGATGACTGATGTAAAACAGTTGTTATCAGTATCATTTGGACTTTGTGTTTGAGTACTTCTGTAAATAGATTAGTAATTCTGTAGTTAGTATTTGTATAATATACCTCATATGTGCTGTTATATTGTGGTTCATTTTATGGTGGTTTGTGTATGTATAATCACATAGTCAGCCTACACAACCCTAACTTCTCCTTTCTTATACACGGAAATCAGCCGGAGACGGGCAGATACAGCCGCAGGCGTTTGCGGACACGCACACGTCTACTCACCTTTGTTTCCCTTCCTTCCTCGTTCGCCACGTCTCCCAGGATCTCCTGGTGGTCCGGGTGTGCCAGGGTCCCCAGGGTGGCAGCCTGGCCCTAGAAGGTCACATGTCACCATGTCTGCTAGAGCCAAAGCCACTTAGATTTGCGGAAACCCTTAATTAACTTTGAATACTTTATGATGGAGGATGGAATGTGAATATAGGCCCACAACCTTAAGATGAATGTTGTATGATATAACTTATGGTAACTAAATATGGACAGAACAGTGATGGTTGTTATATAGGGTAAACTCAATTATCCACCAAAGGAGAGAGTCGGGGGCTCAGCACCTACCCCCCCATCATGATTCAATTTTTTGAGGGAGTGGGGAATCCCCACGATAAAGTTTACTGAGCGAAAAGGTTACGTGACGTATATAGAAATCTGGGACAAATTGCTAAATGGTTTTGGAAAGACTGTTTTTCAGGGGGGCTGAGACAAAAAATAGCCCGCCTATGTAGGGTCTAGAACCGCATATGTCCACCAGAACCAGATGAATTTCGAACTCTACTTCCAATCCATTCAAGTCCTTCCATGAGCTACCGTTATACCAATAACGGGCAGTACAGTACATGTATCGGCTGCACAACACAATGATTACATAGCAGATCAAGCAGTGCCTCATTTCTGCAATGCAGAGAACCTTCACCTGGGTGTCCAGCTGGGCCCCTGAGCCCACTGGGTCCTGGGAGACCTTTAATTCCTGGCTCTCCTTCGGTTGGACGGGTCCTTCCTGGGTTCCCCTTCACGCCTTTTTCCCCCTCTGGCCCAGGGCTTCCCGGGTTACCTGCTAAACCTGAGGTTAGAGGTCAAGTGAAGTCAGATGCTATATCAAAAGCAGCAAAAGGGCTTAGTTTGCTGTGGTCTGGGTGGCTCACCTGGGTAGGACTGACCGGGCCGCCCTCGATGTCCCGGCATGCCGATTGATCCTGTGTCCCCTGGTTCTCCAGGTGGGCCATGCAGGCCCGGGTCACCAGGAGAACCTGCAATGGCATATTGTACCAACCCTTGTTCTCATTGAAGTAATAAAATACAAATTGTTCTTCCAGGACCTACATAAATATTAATTGGTCGTCCCTGGAACCTTGGCCCGGACACCATTTTCACATAGGGGACATTCTCATTTGTGTGAATGCAGACTGTTCACCTGTGACGTTGTAGAGTTCAAATACGGAGTCTCCCTTCATGCCGGGGTCTCCACTGAAGCCCTTGAGTAGATACACATGAGACAAGCTCTTTGGGGGCCAATACAGATTCCAGTGACAGTCACCACAAGGCAGACCAGCTCATCCTACCTTTGGCCCCCTGTTGCCTGTTAAACCAGGAAGCCCAGGGTATCCATTGTAACCCTGCATGTAAAAGAAGACTCCAATTAGACCAAAAGCATAAACACTCCCACACAGATAAACAACATACATACATAAATGACTGGAACAAATGGACACAAAGATACACACACACACACAAAATCACAGACACAAACCTTTATTCCAGGAATACCAGGCAAACCACGACGACCAGGTAAACCCTGATAACAAGAAAGATATGAATAATTACAGAAAAATACTCCATGCATCTCTCAAAAACACATACCCTTTCACACACACACATACTGTAGTGTATAATAATATATACACCTGGGCAAAAAAGTGGGCCAAGCCCAAATTTGCAAAACATTAAACTTTTAATGGTCTCAACAGCAAATAGAAGATATTATGAAAAAATTTGAACACCCATACATGTGTTACTTTGAATTTTATATCAAGCATTTAAATCTTTTCAAAATTTTATATTTGCGTCCAAAAAGGACTGTATGTGTGAATTTGCCTGTTTCCAGCATTTTCCCCTGACAATTCACCACAGCAATGAGCAGTGATGCACAAATGACAGCACAGGTCTATAGAGTGCATAATTTTTTAGTTTTTGTTAATTATCTGACCAATGATTTTTTTAATGATTTGCATGAAGACCATTAAAAGCTTAATATTTTGCAGTTTTTGGGTTTGGCCCACTTTTTATTCGCCCAGGAGTATAGATACTATAGAAATGCACAGTTGCACCAACCACACGCTCCCACAAAGGCATGCAGCATGACATCCCCTCAGTAAAGACCCTTCATAGTACTCCATACAGCAGTCTGCTATGACATCACCAGCTATGAAACAAAAGCACAGCTCCTCCTACCCGAGGACCTTGAAAGCCAACGACTCCTTTTGCTCCCTTTTCTCCTGACAGGGAGTCTCTTCCCTGCAATTTTGCACAGTTCATTTGGAGGTATACTGTTATACATGCTTGCTTTTTTGTAATAATTGCAACAGCCATAACACATTACAGTAACACTTTCTACGAACGCCATATCTATAAGAATGTATGAACACATTATAGCCGTGTTTGTTATGTATTTTGAAAGCTTTATGAAGCTCTCATCTGTAATGCATTATAGATACCTTCATAATGCAGTACATAGCATCCGTAATTATGATACCAATCATTATAATGTATTATGACAGTATCTATGGTGCATTATAGATAAGAGCTTCATTGCAGCTCATGAAGTATTATAATCAACACACCAGTGTCTAATGACTGTTAATATCAGATGCTCTAATGCTTTTTTAATTCTTATACTGACCATCGTAATGCATTATGAAGGGATCTATAGTGAGTTATATAAGAGAGCTTCAAGTAAAATGTTACCCACATTACTAATGGCCAAGTGTCGTAGTCGGCAAATGAAACAAATATGCCTGTGTAAGCTGGGACACTCACATTGACACCAGGGGGTCCACGTTGGCCTTTGGCACCTTGATCCCCCTGGAATATACCAGTCACATGAGGAGACCCCACCCCCAAAAAACACTCCACAATCTACAAGGTAACCATGGTGATGTCACCAGCATCCCTCACCTTGGGTCCTTGTGGGTAGATTCCATCTGGCAGGGTCACAAACTCAAACGGTCCAGGGTCACCATCAGGTCCCTGCCCTCCCTGCAGAGTGAGGACACAGTTACTGACTATAAGGCTATATCACTGACTATAAGGCTTCTGGCAAGATGCATACGTTTGAGGGCCGTGCAGGTTATGGGAGTTTCCCCAGAGAAATGACAAAACAGGAGGGCGAAGGCAGATGGCCTTGAAATACGAGAGAAACCCGGGACAAACGGGAACGTTGGAAAATATGAAGCTGGTGTACAGAACATTGTGACACAAAGCAGCAGGGGATTTATTTGGGTTTAACAATAGAGTGGAGATATAGAAAAAAATAATTATGCATTATGAGGGCATCTATAGTGCATTACAAATGAGACGTATTATAATAAACACTATAATGCCTTATGACTGTCAATAGAAGATGCTATAATGCTTTATTATTCTTACACCAACCATTGTGATGCATTATAAAGGTATATATAGTGCATTATAGGTGACAGCATTAAGTAGAGTGTTACCAGGCAACCTTCATGCTCACCTGACTCGTCCTCCCTCCAGGGAGGCACCCCCCCTCCCACACACACACACACACACACACATACACACTCCCACTACTTCCCCCATCATTTTCATATACTACTGTGCATATCTAGATGACTCACCTCGTCACCCTTCGGTCCAGGAAGAGATCTTCCCCAATCACCCTGTAAACGTGTGGGAAAAAAAAGCACGGACATGGAAGGTGACTCAGAAGTATGTATTCTATGGAGCACATGCATGTGGATGAGGGCATCTTACTCACAGGAGGTCCCCTTGGGCCAGGAAGACCTGGCAGACCCTGGACATAAAGAGCACAGGAGATAAAAGAGCAAATAACTGGGCAATCAATCGCATACACATACACAAGACATTCTCACCTCATACACACAGCCATGCACATGTAATAATATATACAGTACATGCAGTGACAAGATACACACCCATGGTCCTATAGGTCCAGCTGGTCCCTGTAAGCCTGGAACACCAACTATCCCAAGCGCCCCCTGTAGAAACACGTTGTGGCCAGATAGCCTGGAATTAGCAGCGCACTTTACAGTAAAAATCCTGTACATTAAGAAAGACGCTTCCAGCGTTATCACACTTACAGGTGGGCCGGATAAGCCTGGTAATCCTGAATCTCCCTGTAGGACACACGAAACAAGCGTCCCTTAGTGCAGAGCTGGCACTCACAAGGAAGAATGAGAGGCAGCATGGTGCAGAATGGGGACCGGGGTAGGACAGAAGGGGGGGTAGCCCCAAGACAGAGTGAGGGTGGGGCAGAATGGGGGGTAACCCTCTCCCCCTCCCCCACTGCCCCAGTTGACAACTTTTGTAGCCAAGGGGTCTCTGACTGTTACCAGATTTTTACTGTGTTACTTTAAATCCCTGGGCCTTGCTGGATGTTAAAGGACATTATCAGATTTAATGGGAACTTACTGGAACTCCAGGAAGATGGGTGTACACCGGATCTCCTCTGGCTCCCTTCGTTCCTGCAGTACCCTGCAAGCAAGTAGCACGACTGTAAGCCTTGGTACACCTGTTGTGTGGTGCCAATGGAATCCCCAAAGGCGGGACACGCCTGTCACACACCACAGCTACACCTGTGACATGTGACCTCTGGGCCCTAGCATTGCTCACTAAAGTTCTCACCTGCATCCCTAGAATTCCATGCCACCCAGGAACCCCAGGAGGACCAGGGTCACCCTTCGTCCCGTTACAGCCGTCTCGCCCAGGGACCCCCAGACGGCCTCCATCACCTGGGTGACCCTGGAAAGAAAAGAAAGTGAAAGCATATTTTTGACCTGGGGCTGTAATGTTGTTTTTCCATGAATAACCAAGACCGACTGTAATAGAACATAGACCACCTATACCTGTACTGACAATGACCAAGAACCCCTGTAGTAAACATTAACCATGAACTCTTTCAATGTGTCAAGGTCTATTACTAGCAATTATTCCTTTCTTGTAGAACTTCAGCCCAGAATAAATGAATCCTGAGAAATATGTACTCACAGGAACACCACTGAGCCCCATGAATCCAGGACTACCAGTCAGACCCTTTAACACAGAGTATACAATCCAGTCACAAGAAAGCACAGCATCCAGTCTGAAGATGTTTCATACACAGTCATCTGACATAGCATGCACGAAAACAGAGCCACTTGGGAGAGCACAGAGAGAGCATGAAGAATTCATATTCCATGACATGAAAGCACTTTTTTACCACATCTCCGGTGGGTCCTGCATGCCCTGGCAGCCCTACGTCGCCCCCTTGTCCTTTTTCTCCTTGAGGCCCACTGGGACCTGGAGGCCCACTGGGACCCTGGGGGCCTGCCTTCCCCAAGTACCCAGTAGCTCCCTGGGGTGGAAAAATGTTTCATATGCAAAAATATCCTTATAAGAATAAAATGTTGTATATATATTTTACTTTTGATGTTGGCATACAGCTGGCATCTGCACCTTTATGCTACTCACAGCTTCATTCTAGCCTGTGAATGTGCCACTTGCGTCATACTTGCATAGCAATTATAAATGCGACGGTAAAGATTTAATTTTTCCACTGGGGGGCGACAAAACCCACAGCGTCTGCATGAAATTACTTTTCATTCATTAATTTAGATTACATTAAAAACAGGCTTTTCGATAATAATAGACAATTGAGAAATTGACAGCCTTCCAGTCATATGCAGTTTTAACCCGAAGCACCACATGACACATTTGCCCAAAGGAATCTACAAGTGTGTGAAGCTTGGGGTTTGGAAGCAGGGTCGCGGTGAAGCCATACTCGAGTTCCTTTAACTGGGAAACACGGGCAGCTGGAACAGTCTCGGCCCTCACAGGGTTCATGATTTCCTCCCTGCAAACCACATCACAACATTACTGCAATGTAAATAAAAATGTTACTGTAACACACATCCCAATGCACCCAGCACAAGCCACAATTTTACTGCAGGAGAAATGTTAATTCAAATACTGCTGCACACAGTAACCAGCCAACTATGCATGGTAAGAACTAATAATACACACTTTCACATCTCTATTTCTCTCTCTCTCTCTCTCTCTCTCTCTCTCTCTTTCTCTCTCTCTCTCTCTCTCTCTCCCTCCCTCAGTCTCTCTCTCTCTCACATTTATTTCGTAGACGATTTTATCCAAAATCGAGAGAGCAGGTTCAAACAGTCCTTGGAACAACTGAGGCTTCAGACCTTCTGCTTACATTTAAATTTCTTTGGCACTTTTTCATCCAAAGCAACATTCCAACAGGACACACAGTACACCAGTCTTGTCTCACTAATGTCATTAAGGCAAATTCAGATGAAGGCAAGTTTCCCCATTGAACTTTGACTTTAATCAGAGAGTCAGAAAACTGAGAAACCAAAAACCATTATGAGATGAATTGAGAATGATAACCTTTGTTAGGGGTGTTTTTAAGTAAAAAAAAAAAGTCTAGATCGCAGCAGAGAGCAGCTGAGGATTCTGGTCCCACAATCAGAAGCACGCACAGGACCGTGAATTTAATGTTCTGCCGATTTTCCTGAGATTCGTGTATCATCATCATGGCACAGACTCCCCCAGGTGACTAATGGATGTTTACTCCAGTTAGGCTGCATGAATTCCCACAGCTTCTCTGGATAAGCAGCGCAGCTTCTGTTTGCAGCCCTGTTTTGGCTACTGCAGACACTCCCTAGCTCTTGCCAGCTCGCACCAGCAGCCTCAGATACGAACCTAATTCCTACCTAATTTCTTCATCCATCTTTTTTTTTGGAGAACTGCTGGAGACCCGTTCCTGCAGTGCGAAGGAAGTTATGCAACCACAGCCCTTCCTAAATCCTCATTCAGCCTCATTCATTTTTGACTTCGGTTTACCAAAAACGACTGTCATTCATTTTTATTCCTCACCAGCATATTGCCAAACCACTCCCCCAAATAAAGAGTGTACAACAATAATGAACAGCATTTCTTTCAGGTTTTATTAGTTTGAGAAAAAGGCACTGGGTACTTACTGCACGGACCATCAGAAGTGGCATGTTCCACCTGAAAAGAAGAATGATTGATATAAAATATATTGAAATTTATTTTAATGATAATTCTACGACTCAAATCTCGCTAGTCTCCGAATGGTGTGGCGTGATCTACAGTGTGGCTTCAACACTGTTACAGTACATACAATGACCCTATTCACTATTTTGGTTGGCCCTGTAGTAATTTTTATCTCCATTCCTATATACAATATATGTCCCATGGTTTGGAAGACACATTGTTCTTTAACTTTCAATAATGCATATATATTGTGATGGCAAGAACAATTATAAAATTGATATTTATACAAAGAAAATACATGCATGCTGTGTGTGACTTTGTCATCCCATCTAATGTTACATCCTGATCCATGGACAGGCACAACAAAAAGCTAGAGTGAGACCGCCTCTTACTTTGTCTTTGATTTATTTGTGAAGCATCGTTATGATTAGACTAATCTACTTGACTCTTTTGTGAATTTGTGAAGTAGGGGAATATCAGCTTCAGTAGCTGACCAGAGGTGAGTTCTCAGAACGCTTTTTAACACAACATAGCATTAAGAAGGCTTCGGAAAACCCCCCAGGCCAAATATCAAACAAAACGGCACAAACTATTAGCTTCTTAACAAAGCGAGTGTGAGAAACAAAACTTCCCTACCTCCCAAGTAATCAAGAAAGTGAGAAAACAAATCCAAGCAAATGACCCTACTTCCCAAGTCTTCACAATATATACAATACAATGTATACAAACAATTTACAGAGAGAGGTCTCTGTCTTCACAATATACACAATACAATGTATATAAACAATTTACAGAGAGAGGTCTCTACAACCAAATTGAAGGACACTTCAGAGTGCTTTACAACAACAAAAAGGAAGACTAATTCAAAGGTTATACTGGAATGTAGATCAGGACAGTAAGCTCAATTACGCATTACCTCATGTGACCTGGGGAAATCTGCACCTCCTCGTTTTTGTAACCCCTGTTTATCCATACTCACATATGTATATGCACCTGTACTGTTTGTACATATATATGCATGCCAGCCCACTGCAGAAATGCAATACATCAGTCAGCCTAGCTGCATGTCTTTGGACTGCTGTAGGGAACTGGAGGTAATCCATGCAAAATAGGGCAAACAAACTCACTCCAGAAAGACGGAAGAGGCAGAGCAGGATTCAACTGCCCAGCTCAGGAAGCAGGAGACTTGAGTGCTGTCTATGGGGCCATCATGTCTTTGTGGTGCTTTTTGTTTAATGTACATTAATGTCCCGGTGGCCTAGTGTGTGGCCTGACACCTCTAGGCTTGGGAGTGCATATCCCATCTCTGCTCTGTGCGTGTCAAGCTTGCATGTGCTTCCCATGTTACGTAGGCGTCCTCACACAGTGCAAAGACATGCAATCACACTAACTCATTTCCTGTAGTAGATGCACCCTGTGGAGGAATGGCATTACACCCAAGGTGAACCCCAGTTTTCTGCCCGGGTTAGGCTCCACTACCCTGCAAACCTAACCAGGACAAAAGGATGGATGCACGCATGCATGGGCATTGTTAGGTCCGATCACTCGGGGCTATAGCCTGGAGTATTTTAGCCCCAATGCCAATCTTCCTTCAAAAGCAAAAGAAAGTTAGCCCCAGGTAAACTTCACTTAGCCCCTGATCTTTTTGATAGCTAGATTCTCCCCTGGATGGATGGATGGATGACTATTTATGTGTGCATGCATATTTAGGCAACTGCCTGCTTCAATCCCACTACTTATATCTAACTTCAGTCACACTCACAACCTCACCACCACTCTCAACTGAATTAGTTTATCTTTTTTTAAGCAAGCTTTGTGTGTCTAGCCCTGTGTCATAAAGAATTACCAGAAAAAGAGGGAAGAGCAGGTGATGCAGATGATTGAGGTCTTCATCTGGGATCCCCACAGCTCAGCAATACTCAACACAGCAGTCTGTGGTGCTGAAGAACAACTATGCATTAATAATTTGACTTCATGGTGGATGCCTGGTCCCTGTCCTAACAAATAATCATAGCATTAGAGCTTCAGGGAGCTGCATAACAAGGACTAGACTATGGGAGGGACACAGCTGGGAAACGGGAAGCAGGATATTTAATGAAAAACTGCATGCAGACTGGATGAAGAGCTCTAATTAGGGCACTAAATGTTAGCGAGGCAGGGTTCCTGATTCCCCGCTCATCTCATCGCTCTTATTTTTATCAAAGAAGATCAGCGGGCTGCACTAGTAGATATATAAATATTTAAGATGAGAAAATATTGATGAGATTTAATTCAGCCGCCTCTTAAGCGAATGCTTGTGATAAGTATAGTAGGAGAAGGGATTCTAGTCTAAGGATTTTAAACCCTTATAAAATTTACACATAGTCCGATATACTATAGATATCGTCAAACTTTCACCATTACATAGCATTAGGACCATCTACTGCAATTAAAATCCTAACGGATAATCTTAATTTATATACTGATGAAGTTCCGACTACAGACGTTACTTCTAGTGCAACAAAGAACAATGATAACAATGATAATGGTCTTAGACAAACTTGCTGATAAAAATTATTTATCAACCATATTAATATAAAATTAATTTATAACGATTGCGTACTGATATCTTTCATTTTTACTTCCCCGTTGATTGAATTCATGCTGTACAAATAAACAGTTTCAATATAAGCAATCAAGACTTAATTACTGTAAAATAATGACAAGCAGATATTTTGGAAAAGTACTTATCTGTCACTGCATAAAGTATTTTAATATTAAAACTGGAACAGATTAAATAAATAATAAAGTTAATAATAATAGCAATCATTTAATAATAAATAATAGCAAAATAAATAATTCTACATAGCGCCTACGGCAAATGCAAAACATTTGTAAAAAATACATTTAAAGGTGAGGTAGAGGTAGAGGTGGATATTGCAATAAGTAAAGTCACATGAAATTATAATCACTATCTAAAATTAACGCAACACTCAGAATGAGAATTTCTTTTTTTTTGTCTGAAAAACGATTATTTTGTCGATCGACTTTCACTACTGTACACAATCCCTCACCTTTATAAAATGTCGCTCGCCCACAGATTCAGGGAGAAATGAGAAAGAAGCGCTGTTGCATAAAGGACTCCCAGGGAACTGACAGTGTCATCATATATACTGTGAAATGCAGAGGTTACACCTGTGTCTGGACAATTTTCTGAGCAGTGCTTTTGAGATGAAATCAGCATCTCCGCTGGATACTGAATATAGGATAAAGTTAGATACGCCCACATTGCGGCTTCATTTCCCGGCTCTCGCTTCACCTCCATTGCCATTAATCCCATATATTTCTTGTGCAGCTTCCCAGATTCCCACTAAACGCACAGTGGGCGGTTTGTGCGCACAGATCTGGGAGAGCATCTCCGCACCTGCTGCCGTCAGTTTACTCTTAAAAGTTACTTAGGTTTGCAGGTCAGAGCCCGGTTACGGAGCAGCGATGACCCGCTGGATCCGGTCCATGACAGCGACCCGGAGGGCGACGCTTCTGCTGATCCTGGGGGTTTTATGGGACGTTACGGCGAAGGATGTAAGCATCATGGTTCAGTTGACAATGCTTTCGGCACAGATCACGTTCAATCGTAAATTAGGAAAATATTGACATTGAAATGATTTTATCTGAATTACCTCACAAGCCGGCATGAGAAGTGCAGATTTTGGTGAAAGAATTCGTTGGGCTTCTTTTTCATCTGCTCGTGTCATGTTTCTGCAATCACTGTAGTATGGGTTGTAAGGCTGGGGATTTCCGTAAGTGGTTATAAGCCTACTATTAAAATACTAAGTCTATAAATGCAGATGAGTAAAACCATTCCGGGTCAACTGTTATATTATATTTTTAAATAATAGATTAAAAAAAAAAAAATGTTTAAAATTATTTATTTACTTATACGCAAATTACACAGCAGCCAGTTCCATGTCATATCTACACAGAATCAGGGGTGACATAGAAGTGGGGAACATTAGGTTGACTTGAAGGACCCCTGAGTGTGGGGGGCCCTAAAAAATTTGGAACATAACTGGATTAGTCTGGATTGGGGGGCCCAATATGATATGCTTTTATGGGGTCCAGAATCTCCAGCAACTGCCCTGCAAAGAATGCATGTGCTGCTCACTGCTTGTAAACTGATGAGATTCACTTACTGCTTTGTAGCCCATACTAAAGACCATGATGTCGCGTGAATGTGACTTGAATTTGCTGTGTCTGTCAGCTTCATTGAGGACTAAGGACCCACAGGAAAGATTAGCTCATGAAGTGATAGTACGTCACTTCAGTTGTTTATCCAGCATCAGTAGATATGGCAAATAGTCCAATCAAACAAATGTTAAGCAAACAAATAAGAGATGATTTATTCTGACACCACTTATGCAACCTGTGACAAGACCCCTTGAGCTCTAGGTCCTGATTGGTTTCTTTTTATCTTTTAGGCAACACAGGGTGGGGTGCTAGACATTAATTCATAGACTGTCGTTTTTATAAATGTTGGTTTGTCTAACAAAACATTTGCATATAAGGTTATTTAGAAAATCTCAGACCTTTAGGTACAGAAATAGTCTGCTTTTAGCTTAAAGCATACAGATGTGCGTAGACAGACACTGGACATGCACTTACATTTTACAGATGTGTGCTTATGTTCCCTCGACTGCCCAGTAAACTGTTTACATCAGGGTTATTCAAATCACGGTCCTTGATGTCTGAGTACTGTTGGTTTTCCAGCCTTCATTTACCTGTCAGTCAGGTGTGAAGGCTCTGACCAATCAGAATCATTAATTATTAAACTAACTACCTGGGAGAACTGAAAACAAGGCCTGGATTTGGAATCGAGGTCTAGATTTGAAGAACCCTAGTTTACATCATCTTCAGTCATGCAAGCTGCATGTGTGTCAGTCTGTTCTGTGCTGTGTTCTGAGGGCACCAACACTGCATTAAAACTGCTGCTGCCACTCAGACTGGCCTTAGGAGGAAAATGCACCTAGGGACAAGTCTGGGGAAGCCACCTAGACATGCATGCAAACATGCTGATTTTTTATTCCTCACACCATGTGGTGCTACAATGACTGTTTACAAGGTGCATCAGTATACAAGGGGATACTTCAATATAATAGTATGTCAACATACAAAGGAATACCTACAGCTCAGGAAAAAAACAAGAGACCACAGCTAAATTTTTACTTTCACTCATTTCTCAATTTATGGGTATGCTTCTGTGTAAAATATAATTTTTTTTTTTGCAAACTCCATTTTGGCTCTTCCCTGTTTCTCATTAATGAAGGGCTTCTTCCTTTGGCTTTATGGGTCTTCAGTCCTGCTTCTAGGAGCCTGATACGAACTGTCCTAGCAGTGCACTTCACACTACTTAATGTTTCCCATTCCTTTTGAAGATCACTACAGTAGATGTCATGCTCTGATTCATGAGGCACTGTCGGATAAGTTGACGGCCATCTCTGGCATTAGAAAGTCGCTTCTGCCCTCTACCTGGCTGGTTTCTGGTCGTTCCCACTGTCTCCTGTTTAACATTGCTCTTGTTTACTGCGGTCTTAGAAATTTTGAGCCTGGAAGCAGCCTGTCAAATAAAAGTACTATAAAAGTAAAGTACTGTGCAAAAGTCCTGGGCCGTCAAAGAAAATGTTTAATGCTGTTTATCTGGGTGGTAAATATATTTGCTCAGAAAAACAATTTAACATTAGAACATATGCAAAGTAAAAGTAAAACAATAAAAAGAATTTCTTCTGTTCTCCAAAAGGTTGGAGACTATATGAACACCGCTTCAGTTCCCAAACCTCTCCTCAGGGGCAACTCAGCCATTCCATGTACTAGTTAAATTTCACACCAGCTCAGTTAATTCATTAATTTAATTAAGTCAACAAAAGTCAATGAGGTATTGATTATCCATCCATATGAGGTGTGTTAGTGGGCAAGTCGAAAAATACATGGGTGTATTGCATGGTTGATGTAAATACACTGGCGCTTTTAGAAGAGATTTTGATATGACTAAGCTGGCTTTGATGCTTTGACGGACATCATTTTATGGCTCTACACCAACATGAAGATCTTTTGAACATCATTTTCTTTGGCAGCTCAAGACTCTTGCACAGTACTGCACATCAATATAAGAGGGAAATTCCACTCCATGACAGGCAATTTTGTGTTAACAGATATTCATATAAACAGTACAAGGAACAATGCTAAGGATTTTGCACTCCGAAGCAATATCTGTTTGAAAGGCAAGAAATCATGTGACCCGGATTCAGTCCCGAACGCTATAGCTCCACTGTTTGAACAGGCCAAAAAATCCTCGTCTTCAGAGTTCTTCCACATTTCTACAAAGCTGACAACACTGATCCAGCATGTAACGCATTACTGTGAAAAAGTCAGTGATATTATCTGTTTGTCAAGTGTGTCAGCTTAATAATTTCAAAACCTTTTGTAAAGTCATCCCAGTGTTTCTAGCAACCATCCAATATACTGAAGTATTTTTTGACTCGAGCACCACCCCACCTTGCATTTCTAATCAATACCTCATCGAGTTATTTAACTAATTAGGTTCATTCATGAGCCGGTAGTGAAATCTAACAAATACATGGAACAGCTGAGGTCCCTCTGAGGAGAGGTTTGGGAACTGAATCAGGTTCCTCTAGCTGTCCAATGAGGTGTCAGCAACTATTTGGAGAACAGAAGAAATTCTGGTTGATTTATTTTTTTATTTTTTTTTGCGTTACTGTTAATTTGCAATAGTCTTAAACATTTTCTTTGACTAGCTAAGGCTGTTGCCACATGCACAGATTGACTTTTTCTGATCTAATATATTCTATGTACACCTTCAGACTTACTACAGTGAAGCACAGATGTAATAATAGAGTGCCTCATCACTGTGAAGAAGATCAAACAATTCTTTTGTTTTGAACTATTGCTGGGGTAAATTCAGGACGTGGTCTGGACTGGTTCCTTGAGTGATTCTACTGTCTCAACCTGCATTGGGGATAGTTGTGGTGGTTCTAAATGGTTTATGGGACTGTTCAGTACATTTCTCTCCTAACCAGTTCTGCGCTGCATTCAGAAATGCTCCCAGCGGCTCAGCTGAGGCAGGCTGTTCTCTCAGTCTTTATCAAGTATGTTTGGGAAAAGGGAAAGGCTTGACTCCCGGTGTTCATTCCCACAGCACTTCTCAAAACAAACTGCTTTATCTATAACCAAAGGTCTCACGTGGGTGGAGACCGTCTGCTATTCTGAAATATTGTATTGACGTGTTTCTAGGTTTGCGTGTGTAATGGGAAGCCCAGATGTCACTGTGACCAAGTCAAAGGCAACAAGGTAGGGTGAGATTGTGCTGTTTAGCAATAACTGCAGGTTACAGAAATACTGATACACAGACGTAACATTCAGAAAAATGTGGACTTAATTGGGTCTCAAATACCAGTTAGAATGAATAGGGCTCAATGTTTCATTAACTGGGGTCAGAATCATCTTATTTCATGCCACCATCGAGCCAGTTTTCTGATTCTGATTTGTAAGGTTTACATCGATTCACAAATGTCTCCCCTTTTGGAGAAATACCCTTCTGAGATCTTCAGAGAATGAAAGGGGTGCTGACCTGTCTCTGTCCGCGTAGGGTGAGAAGGGATACCCTGGTATCGACGGCCCTCCTGGTTTGGTTGGTTTTCCAGGTAAAGAAGGCCACCCAGGGCCACCCGGCCTAAAGGTATTAAACCATCTCCTGTGAGCACTGTCTACAATGTACATGTCTACAGCTTTGGTGTATGATGTGATACAAATCCCGGAATCTACAGCCCACTTGGTTGTTGGCTTCTCCTCTAGGGCCACATCGGTCAGCCTGGAGATCAAGGACCCAAAGGCAGCAGGGTGAGATTAATATCACTGGCTGCATAATCTTGTCACCCTGCTTATGTAGCCTGGTTATTCAGTTAATATACTTTGTTTAATATTTATCGCCAGTATATACAGTGTGTAGTAATCAATGCCTTAAGCAGATGAATAGCAATACAGACCAACAACCAAAACAACCAAATACCCTGCATCCATTGATGGATGGATGGATGGAGAACCAAATAAAACCTGTCATAACAGCATACATAACAGCAGTTTGATGACTAGTACATTTGGTTATTTTGTGGCCTGTGACTGTTCCTGGTACCAGATAAAGAGATATGAAGTTCCCAGTGTGCATCTTGGGGAAATGTCCTCCTGTTTGCCACCATTTATTATGAAGTTATTGTTCTGTCCCAGGGAATTAATGGAGATCCAGGACATATGGGGACTCCAGGACTGCCGGTAAGAACCTCCTGTGATTTCTTTACATAATGTGCACTTCCTAGAAGCTTTAACGTTGCTGTCATTCAATGAATGTACCTGTGGCTGAACACTAGGGGGTGCTGAGAAGACACGGCATCCCAAGAGCTCCAGCCCTCATGCCTTTAAAGAATGTTAACACCAACATATATAAACATATATATATATATATATATATATATATACTCACAGGTGCTCACAGAGCAGCACTAGCTTGTCACCTTTTTCTTTACTGTTATAAAAATTTGTCAGTTTTATGGTGATTTAATTTCTTCTATTCTCATTTAAGATTTACCTTAAATTCATCCAAGACATTTATTTTGCAACCAGCATCCCCCATTTTCATTAAGATGATTAATTCAAAGAAACAAGAATTTTTTAATTTCCTTGCTTTTCTACGTTCTTCATGTCATTGATGCAAACTTGCATTTGATTTTGTTCTTGTGCCATTCCTCTTCTTCTTCTTATTATTATTATGATTTTACATAGTGGCAATACATTTGTTTGTAGGGTTTGCCAGGAGTACAGGGTGCCCCTGGAGAACCAGGCCATCCCGGATGTGACGGCATGAAGGTAGGAACGGTGCATCGTGCTTTGTGCGCTATCCTGATAGCCTGTGTGAACTACCTCAAAGGCACCTGATAGCCTGCGTGAACTACCTCAGAGGCACCTGATAGCCTGCGTGAACTACCTCAGAGGCACCTGATAGCCTGCGTGAACTACCTCAGAGCCTGCGTGAACTACCTCAGAGGCACCTGATAGCCTGCGTGAACTGCCTCAGAGGCACCTGATAGCCTGTGTGAACTACCTCAAAGGCATTCATATATACACAATAAGAGAACTGGGAATATATGCATTCATGCAGTAATAGATATTTGTCTCCAGGGGGAAAGAGGCCATCCAGGACCTCATGGGGATCCTGGGCGTGACGGAGTGCCTGTAAGACTTATACTGGACCTTTCTATCCATCTGTCATTGTTCTTTGTATTCCTCTTTGGTGTAGATGGAGGTACAAGTAAACATGTTCATTCAGAAAACATAACCTTGTTGCTAAGAATAGAGGGTATATTAACTGCATTACAGTACATAATGTTGAAATGTTTACCACGTTAATTCTCACCATTGTGTTTTTTAAGGGTTGTCCAGGGCAACCGGGTCCCAAGGTGAGTTTATGAAAACAATATACCATCCATCCATCCATCCATCCATCTTTCAACTCCGTGTTTCATGTCTTTTTTCCATGTGACATGAACTGTGCATTTGTGACCATGACCATTGTGACCATGTCTTTGTCACTGTGCATTTGGATGTATTTAGGCTGGATCAGTTTTCATGGATACTTGTCCGTTTTTTTTTACGCTTTTGAGGTTTGGAGTTTCAAAATTGAACAACAATGGGAGCCAGTAGGCTTCCCACAGATACAGGTGTGCATAAGTGTGCATTCTCTCGCCGGATGTCCCTACAGGGGGACTCCAACTTATCCTCCGTCGAAGAGAAAGGTCAGCGTGGTGCTCCAGGTAGTTATGGTGCTAAGGTGAGGACAGCTTTAACTCCTGTCATCCAAGACGTCCCTCCTGGTACTGTCAAACCCTCTGGCCTGGTTTTCAGGGCCAAACAGGACCACCGGGGGCTCCTGGACCCCCTGGACCGTCAGGGCTGATGGGCATACCCGTGAGTGCTGATCAGACACAGTAATTCATGCCATGCAACACAAAACATGCACCCTACAGTGCCAGCCTTAGATTAACTGTCAGTGTGACAGAAGGTGAAGGCATGCTTGATGCGATCTCTGCTCCTATATTCCAGGGAGCAGGGGGGCTGCCCGGTGCCCCAGGAGTAAAGGTAAGCTTACTACCACTGACTCGGCTGATGTGTGGAGGTGACAGTCTGTGAGATGTGTCTAACCTCTATGTCTCTGTTCAGGGTCTGGAAGGGAGAAGCTCGGGTATCGCAGGACCTCCAGGCCAAAAGGTGGGAAATGACAGCTGAGATTTGAGTCAGAGTGGCAATTGGAGTCCCTGCCCAGTCCTGTACCACCTTGGTCATGGACCAGGCTGGACAGCGCTACGCATCACTTCCTATGATTCCGTTGTACAGGGGGAACCAGGACCTCCAGGAATTCCTGGGAGGAAAGGAATGAAACTGTATGCAACAGGCTTCAAAGACCTACAGGTATGAAGACCTATGGCTGCAAGGCCAGGTGAAACACAGGGAGAGTGGGAATGATTAGATTAGTGTGGGTGGAGTTAATTCATAGTGGGAGTGGTTTCTGCAGACTGACCTTCACTGACCTCTGTCATCGCAGGGGGACCCGGGTGATATAGGTGAAAAGGGCGATCCAGGGTCACCTGTAAGTACATTTGGAACATTAAAGCTGCAGAATATTCCAGAGCCAAGCTATGAATAATGAATTACTTGTGCTTCAGTGCTTAATCTTTTTATATCCCCGACATGACAAATCACAGTATCTGCAAACATTTTTTGAAAGTTATACAAAAAGTACATATGTAACGCAGTTCTGTATAAAGTGTTTATAAACTGGAATAAACTGCTTAAATTATGATAATCGTCACACAAGACTTCAGCAAGTGTGCTGTAATTCGCCAACGTGAACATGCTGCATGACGGTATGTATGTTTAACTTTTGAAGTGCGGCGTGCTTCACTTTCATAGGGTCGTCCGGGAAACGCAGGACATAAGGGCACAAAGGGGGACGAGGGGGAACCGGGACCTGAGGTACATTCGCCTATGAACAGGATGAGATGCATGCATGTAAAAGTATGCAAAATTAAGTAGTGCTTTATTTTCCATTTGCAAGTATAGGCACATTGGTATACGTCTTCTATCTGATGCCATCTTGCTCTGTTTTGAGACATATACACATAAACAGTACTGTGCTTAGGTCTCAGTCAAAATGTTTAAAGCTATTTATCTGGGTAGTATTTGTGTATTACCTCAAATTATTTAAAAACAAAATATTTACGCAATTATATGTAAAATATATGTAAAAATACAATTTAACATTAGGACAGCAAATTAACAGTAACACAATAAAAACCTAACAAGAGATTCTTATGTTCTCCAAAAAGCTTCTCATGTCTTGTTGGACGGCTAGAACAACAGCACTTCGGTTCCCAAACCTCTCCTCAGGGGCACTGTAGCCATTCCATGTGTTCGTTAAATTTTACCACCAGTTCAATTAGTTAATTTAATTAGTTAAATGTCTCAGTGACGTATCGATTAGCCAAACAAGGTTGAGTAATGGTTGAGTCAAAAAATACATTTTGGATGGTTGGTGCACATCCAAGGCTTTAGGAGAGGTTTCAAAATGGCTAAGCAGCCACACTTTGCCAGGCAAGATACTTTAGTTTTATACCAACATGAAGATCATTTACTTTGACTGCCTAAGATTTTTGCATAGTACTGTGTACAAGTGAGAGAGAAACTTTAGGTCAGAGCACGGAGTCAGCCATTAATTCAGTACCCCGGAAGCATTTTGGGCGGGAGAAAGACGCACACAGACACAAAGGCCCAACCTGCTTAGTTACACATCAACTGAGGCTCTAGGCTGAGTGAGGTGTGGGAATGAGCCACTCAGTATGTCACCATGAGCTTGCAGAGCACGGTAGAGAACTTCATGCTTGAAGTGCAATTTCTTCTACAGGGAAAACCTGGGAAGGATGGCAGCCTTGGAGACGTTGGCAATCTGGTAATGCATACTTGGTGATGTTTGGCCTACAACCATTACAAGATTAAATATGGATTAGGAGGAGACAAGATTCATTAACCTATAATGGTCTCCTCATAGAGCTGTCAGTCACCTCACATGACTCTCAGTCACAAGAGAGAGCTGTCAGTCACAAGAGAGAGCTGCCAGTCAGCACACAGAGCTGCCAGTCAGCACACAGAGCTGCCAGTCAGCACACAGAGCTGTCAGTCACTACACAGAGCTGTCAGTCACTACACAGAGCTGTCAGTCACTACACAGAATTGCCAGTCAGCACACAGAGCTCTCAGCCCTGTCAGTAACCTCACTGAACTAACAGTCCTGTCAGCTGCCCATCACTGAGGTGTTTCAGTTTTCCATTGAAATAGAACTGATTGTATTCATTGTGGTCCTGTAGGGAAGCAGAGGAGATTGTGGCTTTCAAGGATTCCCAGGGGAATCAGGCCTGAAGGTCAGGGGTCGCTGTGCCTTATTCGCTTTGATATGTCTGATGCAAGGCTGCCTTGTCCTCACACTCTGTGCATATGTATGTGTGTTTGATTTTGTGTATAACACTGTCCCTCTGTGAGCCTACAGGGACAGAAAGGCAATCAGGGCCCAAGAGGTGACCCTGGAGATGTGAGTAGTACCACTGCAATTGCACTACCGTAATGGCACTTTTCCACTGGCATTCAGAAACTGAGCCATACCTGACTCACTTCAGTTTTGTAATGCAGAAGGGTCACCTCGGTGTTGCCAGGTTTGGAGAGCAACAGCGACATAAACCCAAAGAGATGCTTATTTACTGTTCAAGCGGTATTCATGATTTATCCATCCATCCATCCTGGGTATGACGTTAATCTACATCCAGCCCTGTAAGGAAGGAAGAACTTGGGGGTTGGTGGCAGGATTGGTACGCCATCCTCTGGAAAAAACTCACACTGGTCCATTTGGACTGGTGTGGTGCTGAGGTATCGTCTGCCGCATGGCTGCACATAGGTTCTCATGCCTGAGGTGGTTTGTCATGTGGTGGATGCAGCAACATGCTGAAATGAGTACATTCTCTTTACCTCTCCTCATCCATCCATCCATCCATTTTCTGCTGCGTATCTGGGATCTAGTCACTGGGTCAGCAGTCTGCCCAGACCTCCCTCTCACCAGCCACCTCCTCCAGCTCCTCCAGGGGGAATACCAAGGCGGTGCAGGCCAGCCGAGATATATAATCTCTCCAGCGTGACTTGGTCTGTCCTGGGGCCTCCTCCCGGTTGGACATGCCCCAAACACCTCCCCAGGGAGCCATCCAGGACGCAACCTAGATAGATGCCTGAACCACCTCAACTGGCTCCTTTCAATGTGGAGAAGCAGGGGCTCTCCTTTGAGCCCCTCCTGAATGTCCGAGCTCCTCCCCCTATCTCTAAAGCTGAGCCCAGGCACCCTGCAGAGGAAACTCATTTCGGCCGCTTGTATCCGCGATCTCATTCTTTCGGTCATTACCGAGAGCTCATGACCATATGTGAGGGTAGGAACGTAGATGGACCGGTAAATTGAGAGCTTCGCCTCCTGGCTCAGCTCCCTCTTCACCAAAACAGAATGATACTATGTCCTTATTACTGCTGACGCTGCACCAATCCGTCTGTCGATCTCCCGCTCCCTTTTTCCCTCACATGTGAACAAGACCATGAGAAATTAAACTCCTCTGCTTGAAGCAGTACCACATCCCCCACCAGAAGAGGGCAATCCACCATTTGCCGGTCGAGAAGCATTGTCTCAGACTCGGTCGCCTCACTCGGCTGCAAACCGCACCAGTGTATGCTGAAGGCCACAGCCCAATGATGCCAACAGGACCACATCATCTGCAAGTATCGTCCAGAGCCTATCCCAGGGGCTACGGACACAGGGCAAGGAACAACCCAGGATGGGGCTCTAACCTATCACGGGGCACGCACACACGCACATCCATGAGCAATTTTGGCAATTTGAGTGTGGGGGAGGAAACCCCATGACATGATGGGGAGATCATGCAACACGGAACCCTGAACCCAGATCGCAGAGGTGTGAGGCAACAGTGCTCATCACTATGCCACCTCAACAGTATAATCATATAATCATGTAATGTTTCCTATTAATGTATATTAAAGCTATTAAGCTATGTTAAGATGTTACATGCCGTTTATGAATGCTCTGTCAATGCATTATGAAGGTGCACTGAATGTTCTATGAATGCATTATAAAGGCATTTTAAGTTACAGTTAATTAAAAGCTTTACCCTTCAATCTTCTTAAACAGAAGGTAGTACTTGACAGAGCCCTCAAAGGACAGCCTGGATTGCCTGGTGCACCAGGTCAGCAAGGCCTTCCTGGCCGCCCAGGTATTATTACCGGACTCCTCTCCATGCCTGTCAGCCACACCTGAAGAACTTGGGCATGAGAACTTTGCCTTATGTTTCAGGTTGCACTGGCCCACCTGGATCTCCAGGACTCCCAGGTGCTGTGATCACAAATCTGCTAGATCAAAGAAATATGCACTCACTTTTACAAATAGCACTCTCGTACGTTCACATAAACACATATGTATGAACCAATAAAATATCAACCCATCTGTGCCCTGAGAGGCATTCAAGTCAAAGGCCCTGTATTTTGAAAAGTAAAAATGAAACAAATTTGTGATCCAAGATAATATTTGATATATGTCTTTGGGGGTTTTCAGAGAGAAAGGTGTACACCAATGTTTTCTCCATCTCTTTTTGCAGGTCTGCGTTCTGTTCCAGGCCCTCCAGGTCCACCTGGGCCTCCAGGCAGGCTGGGCCCCAATGGAGATAAGGGTGAACCTGGTGTCCCCATTCAAGGCACTCCAGGGAGAGATGGAGATCCAGGAGCACCTGGAGAACCAGGAGATCCCGGCCAACCAGGGCTTGTTGAATGTATTGGTAGCCATTCAGCTAATACTCTCTGCCATTATATACATAAGTGGATGATGGTGTCTTACTCATCAATGAACAACCTATTACCCATATCACAGGCAATCATAATTGGCAACCTGGTCATTAGGGATAGTCAAACAGTTATCTTTGCTTGTAACAACTCATCTTAATGGTGGACGCTTCTATTGCAAAGGCTTCCGGAACGGCCAAGAAGGACCCCCAGGGATCAAGGGTTTGATCGGCTTCCCAGGAATGCCAGGAGACTCAGGATCACCAGGTTTGTCTTATGTATGATGTTTTACTATGTCACTAATAAGAGTACAACTAGATGGTTCCATTTTGCTGTATAGGACAGGTCGGTGAACCATGCAGATGTGATTTAAAGACAACGATATTTGGCCTTCAGGGAAATCCTGGCCCTGCTGGACTTCCAGGTAACTGTTTTTTTTTTTTTTTTTTACATTTAACTACTCTTACATTCAATTTCCGGCAAAATAAGGCAAAAATAACACTGATTCCAACTGCACATTTAGTGATTGAGTTCTGGACCCAGCACTGTCTATGTTTCTCCAGGAATGAACGGTCATCTAGGACTAAAGGGAGATAAAGGAGTTAAGGGACTCCCAGGGTCCCATGGACTGCAGGTAAACTCACCTGAGATGGTCCATGGCTCTTCTGCCAGACAGCTTCTTCCTTAAACAGTGTTCTTTCTGGAGCCCTCAAGCACACATCCATCTAGCATTTAACACTTAGCATTCATGTCAAGAACAAGAAAGCAGGTCAGTCATGGCTTCTCTGCCATTATCTCTGTACTCATCTCAGGGCCCGCAGGGGATTATGGGTTATCCAGGCCCGCAGGGATGTAAGGGAGATGATGACATTGAACCTGGATTTGGACTGAAAGGGGACAGAGGACTTCCAGGACCCCCAGGAACATGTGGGCTACATGGCAAAGAGGGGGTACCAGGTCAACCGGGGGGCAAGGGTCTACCAGGGCCCAAGGGTAACTTGGTAAATAACCCCAGTTCTCCCTATAAATATTCAAAAAGTGATTCTGTATGATCCAACATACAAATGTCTCCCAACATAATATTGTTGTATAAAACCATACAGTAATTACAAGGCAGCATGATATAGTTGTTTTTGCAGGTCACATGGCCGGGTCCAAAGGGGCAACAGGGCCTTCCAGGAAGGCCTGGCACTCATGGACCAATGGGAAAAGAAGGGGATTTGGGTCCCCCAGGGGTTGGACCTCAAGGTTATCCAGGGCAGATTGGAAGTTCAGGGGTAGATGGTCCTCCAGGACTACCTGGAGTGCCAGGTAAGAATGACCATCAGCTCCACCTGTGAACATCTCCAACCTAACAACAGCCCAACTGAGACAGTACATATGCAAAAAAGAAAGAAAAATATATGAAACACACACACACCTCCACATGTGAGCAATGAGTATAGTAAGTCAGTCACACCTCCACCTCAATTAGGCACCAGTGCATATGTCACATGACCCTGGTGCTAATACCACTTTCTGTTTAGGAGTGAGAGGGGAACCAAACAGAATTAACATCAGCCAAGGATATCCAGGTCCTCCAGGCTTCAAAGGTCTACCTGGAACACCTGGTTTACCAGGTGAATGAGGGAATGGCAGTATAACTGTTGTAGTGCATGATTTCTTAAAAAGACACGCAAAAACTGGATTGAATTGTCCATGACATCACAGGAGCCCAAGGGCACTGGGGTCCCCCTGGAGATCCAGGGCTACCTGGCACTAAGGGGGAAAAGGGAAGAATGTTATCAGTACAATATCCTGGGGTCCCAGGAGTAAAAGGTAAGAAAGACATCACACATATTGCAGTAATTCACAAATAGTCTAGCACCTAATCTCATCATCGTTGGGTTGATGTCTGTGGACTGACTCACTAACCTCCTGTTTCTACATGCAGGTGAGGAAGGCACACCTGGTAATGCAGGCATTCCAGGAATTGGCTTACTGGGACAACCAGGAGCTGCTGGTTTTCAAGGGCCTCCAGGGTCAAAGGTTTGCATGAATCCCTCAAAAGTTATTCCATTTTGTGATTTAGGGTTAACCATGGGTGGGATTTCTCCCCAGGATGACGTAGGGTTAACCATGCATGGGATCTCTCCCTAGGGTGATATAGGGTATGGACTCCCAGGTAGGCCAGGCCCCCAGGGACCAGCTGGCAGCAATGGGGATATAGGGCCCCCAGGTGATATGGGCCTTCAGGGCTTGACTGGACCTGCTGGAGCCCCAGGACATGCAAGATCACAGGGGGTGAAAGGTAATGTTCACTCATATACCAATTTTCACACTCACACACACTCTAGTGCCAACATGATGACCTTAATCCCTACCCAGCCCGAACCTTAACCATGAGTAACCAAACGAAATACACATACATCTTTTGGCATTTTCAGTTTTTTGATTGCAGTTACAGATTTTTAGTAAATTGAATTTTCCCCCTCTGGGACCAAAAATATTGGTCGCCATAATGTCAAAATAGCAGATTCACAATCACATTTTGGGGACATTTGGTCCCCACAATGTAATGTATACCTGGACCACACACACACACACACACACACACACACACGATGACTTTCTGTTTTTCTATGACTCTCCAGGGGTGAAAGGCTCAGTTGGGCCACAGGGTGTACCAGGGCCTCCAGAGCAGGGTTGTCTACAAGGGAAGGATGGTTCTTCAGGACTGATGGGAATGCCTGGCCACCCAGGTATGTGAACTATACCTGTAAGTGCATACTCCACATGCCAATAGCATGCTAAGCATCTAGCCATGAAGCATCTTTTATGCAATTATTAGATAAGAACTGGCTGCCATAACAGTGAACAATGAAAAACTGTTGTGACACCTGGCCATTATATCTACATGACATCCCATTCTAAATCCATAGGCCTAAATATGGAGTTAGTATGCCCCGTGCAGCTATAACAGCTTCGGGGAAGGCTTTCCACAAGATTTTTGGAGTGTCTGTGGGGATTTTTGGCCTTTCTTCCAGAACATTTGTGAGGTCAGGCACTGATGTTGGACATGAAGGCCTGGCTCACTATCTCCATTGTAGTTCATCCCAAGGGTATTCCATGGGGTTTAGGTCCGGGTTCTGTGCAAGCCAGTCAAGTTCTTCCACATCAAACTTGCCCAACTGTGTCTTTATGGACCTTGCTTTGTGCACTGGGGCGCAGTCATGCTGGAACAGAAAAGGGCCTTCCCCAAACTATTCCCACAAAGTTGGAAACGTAGAATTATCCAAAATGTCTTGGTACGCTCAAGCATTGAGTTCCCTTTACTGGAACTAAGGCACCGAATCCATGAAAAACAGTCCCATACCATTAGCCCTCCTCCACGAAACTTAAGTTGGCACAATGCAATCAGATAGGTCACGCTCTCTTGGCATCTGTCAAATCCAGACACACCCATGATGCCAATCAGAGAACTATGATCCATCACTCAAAAGAACACGTTTCCACTGCTCCAGAATCCAGCGGCAGTGTGCTATACACCACTGCATCCAACACGTGGCATTTTGCTTGATGACATGATAAACACACTATACCTATGATCTCTCTCAAACTCATTTACATATATAATCTATACAATAAAGTTGCAGTTATATATTACGGTTTGCTGCAGTTTTTCAATAAATTAAATCAGCAGGAGTTTATTCTTACATCGCCACTGTAACTTCTTTTTACCTATCTATCTAACTGTTTTTTTTCTCTTGGCTGTTAGATTTTTGTCTTTATTATTCTTTTAATGCGATTTTAATGTCTTCTACTTTAATATATCCCTGTGCTTGGGTAAAGCACTTTGAAATGTTGTGTAGTGCTATAAAAATAAACTTGACTTATCTATATGTTGCTGTCATCTTGAGAAAATTTTTAATTTTTGTGATTAAGTTAAGTCATCCTCTAACTTCTAATCATGTCTATTCCTGGGGCCAGTTTCAGAAAGCAGGATTTCTTTTTTTATCTGGATAGCTTGTTGAATTTAAGGTACCCCAGATTAAATGAACTTTATCTTTGTTCACTTATCTTCATTCACTACCTTAAATCTAAGTCATCCAGCTAAGCCAAAAAAATCATGCTTTCTGAAACAGGCCCCAGGTCAGGTTTGCAGGGTTATTGTCATCCAGCATGAAGTACATAATTTAGCCATTATAACAGTGAAGGTAGCCATGCTCTGTCTGTCTCTGATGAAGGTCAGAAAGGGTTGAAGGGGTTGAAAGGAGATCCAGGTCCTTCTAGCACTACACAGCCAGGTCCCTTAGGGCCTGCTGGACCTCCAGGCCCCTCCATACCCGGGAACCCAGGAACCCCAGGCTTGAATGGGTCCAGAGGGCTTGACGGTCTACCTGGGACTGCAGGTAACTTTCAGTCAGAAACACCAGATTAGTACAACATGTTACTCAATACCTAGCCTGGATTCCAGGGGATAGTGAAGGCTGTGTTTAATTTGTAATCCTGGGGGACTGAACCTGGATCCACAGGCTGCAGTGGAGAACCGGGTCCAGCGGGGACACCAAGCTATGGGCCAGATGGTCAACCTGGGTCTAAAGGAGCACATGGGCCAAAAGGTATGGCTCTATTCCCACCCCAGTATCACAAGTATCACACCAGTCCCTCCTTCTGTAGCAGTCTCTCTATATACACACACAGTAGTCCCCCCCCCCCCCCCCCCCC